CTATTTTTTAAGTTTTTTCCTTTGTCCGTTGACCCCGATATTTTCCTTGTCTGCTCCGACCCCTGAAGAATGATGGTTTTGTAGCTGTACATGCCTGGACACAGTGGACACGCCATCAACAAACTTGGTGCGGAAAAGTACGTTAGCATTGTTGAACATGCCGTCTTTAAGGGAGACAACAATGAACTGTGTGGAGAGAAAAAAAAATTATAAATTAGTCTTTATCGGGATATCAACAACCTGAGTAGAGAAATAAACAATTAGTCTTTGAGAGAGACAGCAACGAACTGTGTAGATAATAAAAAAAAAATCAATTTTTGAAAGAGACAACTCTACTGCATGAGATACCAGCTCCTGAACCACTCGGCCAGTCACTTCTCAAAAAAAAAAAAAAAATAATAAAAAAAAAAAAAAAACCAAAACACTGGACTGTCTACAACTAGTTTACTGAAATTAATTTTTACGGTTTGCATCTGTTTCTCATTTTTTCACTCCCAAGCAGCTATCACATCATCATCATAAATCACTCCTGCGGTTAAGCGTCCTGGGAAGGAATAATTTGCAATCCAGGGCAGCACTCTGGGTGTCACTGGCTATTGTAATGACGTTAAGCTGTAGAGTGTCTTTAATGTTGTCAAGCCGTGTTTCTAGCAACTGCGTTCTTGCTCTTGTAACTGATCTTCTGAGATGTAGTGCTTGTGATGGTATTTCTTCTTCTTCTTCAGCGATCTCTGGTCATGCGCATAATCCACTGTGGGTCATAAACTGGGATGTCTTTTCAAGGTCTCTTAGGTTTCCCCAAAGCTTAGTTGTCAGTTCTACTGGGTGTTGCCATATGTCGCTCCGCAGCTCCGCCAGGAGAGGACAGTCTTGCAGGACATGTTCTGGAGTCTGTTCAGCACGAAGGCACTGGCAGAGAACTGTTTGGCTCATACCTAATTTATGTGAGTGTTTATTGAGTCTGCAGTGTCCAGTGCGTAAGCGAAAAACTGTGACTTGGTCTGTTCTGTTCAAGTGTTTCAGAAAATCTTTTCCGTAGTTATAACCAGTGTTGGTTTTCTAATCTGTTTCTGATTTTCTCTTAATGAGAGTTTTCACTTCTAGAAAAGATAGTGGCTGGTAGGTCTGTGGTTTGTTACTGCCTTCCTTGGCTAAAGCATCTGCGCTTTCATTGCCTTTGATGCCACAGTGAGACGGAATCCACTGCAAGTGAATTTCTGCCTTATTTGACAACATAGCAAGTTCCTGTGTTAGACTTTGTAGTGTGCTGTCGGTAGGTTTGGACTCTAGGGCCTGTATAGCTGACAGTGAGTCAGTCAGAAAAACTATCCTGCCTGCGGTAATTTGCAGATTGTTCATATACTGCGCTGCCATCAAAAGGGCTGAGAGCTCTGCCTTGTAGTTAGAGCAAGTTCGTCCGGTGGGGGCTGCTAGGGACACAGTAGTGGCATCTGGGTGTTTTATGTAAACACCTGCCCCACCATTCGTAGTTGCCTCTTTTGCTGATCCATCCAAGTAGATTCTCGTCCAGCTGTCCAGTGGGAACATGTTGTTGAGGTGTTCTATTGTGAGTGCTTTCTTCACTAAAGCGGGCTCAGCATCTTTGTTTCCCAGGTTCGGGATGGATGACACATTGAGTGTCAATAATTCGGAGTCCCAGAGATCAAAAGATAACTCTTCAGGTGTACATTGTTGGTTAAGTAGTGAAGAGAATGACTTTCCAAATTCCTTAGTTAGATGGTTTAGGCTTGTGCGCTTTATTCGGTTTTTTGTCCTGGCTGCCAATTTTTCGTGTAATGGGTGGTTTAGCATTCTCTTCATTTTTTCAGCATGTAGAATTGCTTTTGTCCTTCTTCTTTCTTCTAAGGGGATGATGTTGGCTGCCTTTTCCATTTCTACAATAGGTGTAGATTTTATGGCTCCCAGAATTGTACGCAGACTTCTATTTTGCGTTTTGTCTAGTATCTGTTTATTGGAATGGGCTGCTGTTATCCATGACGATGATGCGTATTCGAGAGTTGGTCTGACTGTGCCGGTGTATACCTGCTTCAAGATACAACTGTCTGCTCCCCAAGTGGTGCCTGCCAATTTCTTCATCACACCTTGTTTTCTCATAGCTTTTTTGTTAGCTTCTAGTATGTGATGTTTCCATGTTAGACGACTGTCAAGCTTGACTCCCAGGAAGGTTGGAGTATTGGAGCGTGGAACAGCATCATTGTTGAATTTTAATGTAAACTTTTCTTCTTTTGTAGACAATGAGAAGAGTGTTGCTACAGTTTTGTTCTTGTTTGATGGTATTTGATCTTGCTGCATTCTAACGAGATGGCCAAAACACTTGATCTGCTGTTTCTCGACAAATCTAGTACAATGTGTTGTTTCCACAATTTGTCTGATAGTATCATTATTCACTCGATCTCGGATGGTTAGTTTGGCGGCTTTTCTCAAGCATGTCATTTCACAAGTTGTGATTTAAATTACTTGGCTTTAGATATTATCCCTGTTTGACACTGGTGGTTTAATTTTGGAATGAGAATGCTATTAATAATCTGTCTCTTTGCACTCACAGTTATGCTTGGATGTCTTAATAATGGTGACAGTTGGTATATAAGTGCACTTGATTTCTGACATCTTGTTTCTATTTCTCTGTCCATTCTACCATCTTCTGTGCTCTAACTTTCTAGATATTTAAATTGATTCAGACTGAAACTATTTAGCTGTATGTGTAGTGAGCCAGGGGTTCTACTAACTTGCATTCTTTCGGTTTTGCTTGCATTGATCTTCATAGTTATTACATCAACTGCTTATATCCCGAGGAGCTGAGCTTCAAATCAATACATACTTAGGCCTGACAGAAATTCAATAAGAGCTTTGTTGCCAGCAGCAGGCTGAACTGGTCGAGCTTTTTTCCTCCCCTATAATGGACATGAATTCAACAGATACAATGAAACAGATGCCCGACTTTAAAAAAAAAATTATCTTGGCTCCCGGGTCGACCCAGCCTTGAGTGGGTACCGTTTGCAGTCCAAGGAAGTAAAGGCGGCCGGCGTGATGCTGGCCACATCAGCCATCTTGTGCCCATTGGTCTATAAAATGTAGGTCGAGCCCTATATGCCTGAAGACGTGGAAAAGGGTCTTTACTGTAATACTTACTTACCATGGAACAAATGCAGTCAAACTAAAAGGGTCTTTACTGTAATACTTACTTACCATGGAACAAATGCAGTCAAACTAAAAGGGTCTTTACTGTAATACTTACTTACCATGGAACAAATGCAGTCAAACTATTAATTCAGATACAGGGGTTAATAAAACACTTGTCTGCGATGGAGGATGGCAAGAACAGTGTATTATTTTGGGAATTTCTAAGAAAAGTATGGTGGACTGTTAGATAGTGAAAGTGTTTAAAAACTGCCTCATTCGTCTGTCTGTTCAGCTATGGTATTCTTAATTTTCCCCTCGCAAACAAGGAATCTTTAAAAAATAAATAAAGAGTACAGAGCCCTTTTGTTGTAAGTGGCGCCTTTAGTATATGATGCTGGATTCATATTTGTATAGATTAATCAGCCCTTTACCGTTACTTCCCAGGACACCTAGTACCCATTTTAGACTGGGTCGAGCTCGGAACCAAGGTAAATTCTGAAAGAAAATTAGCCATGAAGCGGATTCTAACTCAAGACCATTGGGCTGGTAGGTAAGCGTCTAGCCACTAGGGCTCCCACCACAAGGATTACTGACCTAGAGACTAATGAGACACAAAAAGTGACTTACCTGTGAGTGTTTGAAGTGAGATTTGATCATCTGCCCAATGTTCTGTGTGTGAGACAGGTCCAGCGCTGCATCCACTTCGTCCAGAATGTAAATGGGAGCCGGTTTGAACAACAACATCGCCAGAATCAGTGACAAGGCAACCAGAGACCTGAAACAACCGTTCAATATAAGTGTACATATTTATAGATAAAGACAGGTTGCACTGTTAAATAGTCTTTGAGTCAAACTGCCAATTAGTGTCTTAATTTCCCCGTGCGGATTCCGGGGCCCTATTACAGGGAAAACAAAAATAGACCCACTGCCTACCCACAAGCATGTCGTAAGAGCTGACTAAATGGGGGCTTCCTTCCAAGTCAGAGTGCATCTGCCTGAGAGGCATAACCAACAGTCTGCATACACATGAGTCAGATCCGTAAAACGGATGCACATGCAACACTCAAGTTCTAGAACAGGACTGCAGTCCAGAAGTGGACAAACAACCAGAACTTTGCGCCAGAGTTTACAACCGGTGAACAAGAAGAACAACTGCCTTTATTATACTACTTTTGCTGTGTAGGTGGGGGGGGGTGTCTTTCAGCTCGAGGATTTACCGCCGCATGGCTTGCTTGTGCGGTCGCCATGACTGTGCAGGCAAGAATTTTATTTTGCCCCCAACAGAGGATTCAAACCCGGGTCTCCCACTTAAGATCCCAGCGTTCTAACGGTTCGGCCTGCCGCTCCTGTCCTTGAGTACTTTTGATAAAAATGAGAAGGAAAAGATTTTATTTTCATTTTTTTCAAAAATACTCAAGGACTACTTATACTGCACCTGACCAAGAACATAAGTAGAGAGGACCAAGGAGGGGCGGCGTTAGATTTATCTCATCCCACAGAAAAGTTCAGCTGCAAAAATCTAACTAATTACGGACAAATCCACAAAGAGCTTGGTAAAAAAATCGTTAAATGTCTATGTTTCATTAACATTGCCACTCCAGTAATTCTATTGGGAAAAAAAAAAAAAAAAAAAAAAAAAAAAAAAAAACAGCTGGGCAACGAACCCAGGAGAATTTACTATTAAACTGTTAAATGTTTGTTTATATAATTTTCCCCCCAAAATTTTCACAAAATATATAAAGATTTACAAAGGCAGTAACTAATAAACACAAAGCAAAGTGTTAAATTAAATACATTACCCGAGCTTCCAAAATATGTATCAGGAGAATCATGTTGTGACCCTGTGACCTATATCACAGAGACTATAGAAAAATATGATGGTACCACGGCTTTAAAAACACAATTTTATTCATCCCCCCCCCCCCCCAAATCCTATTTTGTGAAAAAAAATATTTCTGTCCTGGCCTTCCTAAATAGTGCGCAGGTGAAAACACAGCCAATCAAGTTAACTATGCGTCTCATAAACAGATCACCTAGAAAAGTTGGTAAAATGACTTTAACAGGGAACTAGACCAACCGGAAGTGTTCTGTGGCTTCTCGGGCGACAGGGTTAAGAGATGAAAGGTAGAAGGCTACAGAAATGCCACAAAATTTCACAAGTGCAGGCTGTCTCAGGTGAGATACTGAAGAAGCCTGAAGTTGTTAGGCTTCAGACAGACCAGCTTATGGCACAATGAACTGGCTTGTCAGGTGTCTTTGCTCACCACCTTGTCTTTCAAGACAATTACCAGAAACTGATTAGAAGCTGTGTTATGAGACTGAGCGATTCCCAAGGGGAGGGGATTGAGAGATAAAGAGAAGGAGAGAGAGAGAGAGAGAATGAACAAATGATAGGATGACCATATTGTCGGGACAGTATTTTTTTTAAAGGTTTCCACAGACCTCAACAACAACATTTTGCGACGTTGGGTGGGCCCTTTAAAACACATCTTACACTCACTAATATGGTATTTTATCTATAAATTATGTTAGGTTTGTACAGCCGACAGATGGGGAAAAGGGGGGGGGGACGGGGACACCCCCCAGCCACTGCTGGAAATTGACTCCACAAACAGTTGTCTTGCAACAATGAATCCTACTTCTGAACACAGGCAGCAATAGAAAATACTGATCATGATTCACTCTGGCCTCTAAAGACACACAATAGGGGCTAATGATATACAGATCAGACTTGTAAAGATAAAACCGATTTGAGAGCTTGACCCTAAACATCAGACATACATACCTTTGACCTCCACTGAGTTCGCCCAGGGACTCCTTCCACACAGATCCAAACCCAACTTTGACTTCTAGGCCATCCAAAACTGTCTGCCCCTCAGGGGGGCATAGTTTAGCCTGGGTTCCTGGCAGCAGGGTGGAGAATATAGAACCAAAGTCCTGTAGGGAATAAATTCATGTTTTAAACACATTTCTGAACAGATATCAGCTGGTGTGTGATGATGGTTGAGGACGTGAAATGAAGAGATAAGGGAGTAAATAGGAAAGATAATAGGGAAGCAGAGAAATAAAGGTAGGGTAGGGGCATTGAAAATAGAGAGTGAGAGGTAGGTAGGGAATAAACAGAAGAAGACAGAGAGAAAAAAGAGGGGCATGTCAGGAAAAGATGAGAGGAAGACATAAGGAAAGAAGTATGTTGGGAACAGACAGGGAGGAAGATAGAGAGACAGGTAGGTAGGGATTAGAAGTAGGTAAGGAATAAACAGAGTGAAAGAGAATAGATAGCCAAGTAGGAAACAGACAGTAAGAAAGAGAGGAAAGATAGGTAGTGAAGAGAAAGAAATGAAAAGAGAATGGAATTGGGGGAAGGGGGGGGGGGGGGGGGGCGTCAGGAGAGAGAGAATAAAGAGAGATAACATAGGAAAGAGGCAGAAAGGAAGACAGAAAAAGGGATTTAAACAAATGTTAGTCTCCCCACAGGAAGTAGGTCACATTCCATTGATAAATTTGTTGGACTAGTCTACTGTGGTCGAGGTTATGGGTGTGGTGCTCTGTTGTTGTCTTGCATTTAACTTTTCATTCCGAGAAAGAGAATGCCTGTGACATAGGTTGCAGCACTCTCTAGGGGCGTTGTGTGCTAGACCCAGTTTCTAAATGTTTTTGTAGTGTTAGAAGCACTGGCATAGTGAAATATAGAACATGCGATGTCAACGGCATTGGGGAACACCCCTGTGATCTTGTGTGAAGGCCAGGTGTCTTGAGGCCGACCAATCAGAGGTGAGCTAGGGTGTACCGGTGTGTAGAATTTTTTTTAACCGAAATTAAGTTAGGAAGAGACCAACTGGAAGACAGAGGCAGCAGGAAAAAACACCAGAAAGACTGGAGAGAGGGGAAGAAACAGAGACTGGAACAGCGAGATAGCAGAGAAGTGGAAAGAGACGCACGGAGATATGGGGAGATAGTAATGAAGGACGAAAGAAAGACACGAAACAGTGATATGGAAATGGGATTATCTTTACTGGCTTTTCTTAGCCGACATAAAAAAGAAATTTGTAAAAGAGAGAGCGAGAAAAAATAATTACTTCAAACAGAAATGAATAAATGCAACATACTGTTCAATATTTGCCTGTTGTAAACCAAAAACTGGCAAGAAACGGAAGCACTAATTAACAGGCAAGAATGGACATTGTGGAGTACAGAACCCCACTAGCTGAATTCTCACAAGGACTACCAAGCAACCAATAGCTGGAGCCTCCCAAAAGCCTCTACAGACATGGACAGAATCAAAAGCCTCTACAGACATGGACAGAATCAAAAGCCTCAACAGACATGGACAGAATCAAAAGCCTCTACAGACATGGACAGAATCAAAAGCCTCAACAGACATGGACAGAATCAAAAGCCTCTACAGACATGGACAGAATCAAAAGCCTCTACAGACATGGACAGAATCAAAAGCCTCTACAGACATGGACAGAATCAAAAGCCTCTACAGACATGGACAGAATCAAAAGCCTCAACAGACATGGACAGAAATTAACCAATCAGAATCCTGAAACCACCATCGACCAAGACCTCGCTTATTTTTTTTTTTATCATTGCCAGTTAACTCTGGTGGAAACGTTTGTTTGTTTGTCCACTTCTGCACTTGTTCTAGAACTTGAATCCTATATTCACATGCGTTTTACAGATCTGGCTTACCCATACTGTTGGTTCTTCGTCTCTCAGGCAGATGTGCTCTGATTTCGGAGGACAAAATGCTCAATCTGTTGCCTTTGACAACATCTTTTCAGGGGTCCTCCCAACTCCCCTTTCCATTTAGGCTCGGAACCCATATGGGGAAGATCTTGCTTATAACCTAAGCCCTGAGGCAGCTCTGTCCTCACCACAAGTCAAGACAAGGAAGATTTATTGAAGAGGCAAATTTTAATCATTTGACCACTGTTAATCACTTCCATCCTCACTTGTGTAAACAGAAAGGCATTGTAGTGAACCTGCACTTGCCCTGGTAAAACAGGCAGTTACTTTTGAGAGTGGTTGATTTTGTATTTCTGTTGTGAAGGATTCATCCTTTTCTTCACTGCATTCAAATATTACTGTAGTATACACCTGGGGAGATACAGCAAAATATTCCAGGCAATAAACTGTGCAATCTACTGTTAGAGTCTACTTTGTTCAAGATATGGAGAGTTTTTTGCAACAACAAAAATATATCTGTTTTCACTGACCACAGACATCATGAGAATAATAGACTGAAATGGTGTTATTGAATGGCAGATGACAGAGAAAAAGCATGTCGTAAGAGCAGACTAACTGGGAGCTTCCTTTAAAGTCAGAGTACATCTGCCTGAGAGGCAAGAAACCAACAATCTGCATAGAAATTAGTCAGATCTGTCAAACTGATGCACACGCAACACTTAGGTTCTGGAACAGGACAGCAGTCCAGAAGTGGCGAACAATCAGAACTTTCCACCAGAGTTTACAGCCGTTGAACGCGAAGAAGAAGAAGAAGAAAAAAAGATTGGCATCTGAAGGTGCACAAAGAATAATAAACATAAAAATAAACAGTTACTAATTTACCTTATTCACTTGCTCCCATGCTTTGATAAGCGCTGCTTTCTTCTTCTTATCCAGTTCTTCTATGACAGAGGCAATTTTTGCCTTATCGTTTAAGACCACTTTCCTCTTTTTCATCAGATCAGTGTACTAAGAAACATGTAATAAAAGTCAATCAGCTCAAATATTACAGTAAAAGTAAAGTAAAGGACCCTATTCCACACCTTCAGGCGTATTGGGCATATAGGGCTAGATCTATATTTTATAAACCAATCGGCACTTGGTGGGTGACGTGGACAACATCACGCCGGTTGCCTTTACTTCCAGGACTGCACCTAGTTAACACTAAAGGCTGGGTCGACCTGGATGCCAAAGTCATTTTTTAAGAAAGCCCAGTTTCATCTGGACCCAAATCCATGATAAATATTATCACATGATATAAATATTCAAAAACAATATGTCTGATATAAATATATATATATAAAAAGAAACTTCATTCTGCAACAGACCATTCACCAACACAGACAAAAAATGCCTGCAGAAATAGGATGAGTTGACTGAAAGGCGCAAATATCACAAACATGCTATAAACGGACACAATGCATTTACATCTTCAGATGAACGCAGAAAATGAGAAAATATTGATCAAACAGACGTTAGCTATTACTTTTAACTTGATCTATTCAATTCTGGATCTTGATCAGCTCATTACCCATATAACATCAGAATAGTGATGCAGTGGATTCCAGGCCACTCCGGCACACCAGGTAATGACAGAGCTGACAGAATGGCAAAGAAAGGAGCAACACAAGAACAACCACCTACAGCGACAACCCTACAGACAGCAAAAACACATATAAGAGCTATAAACAAAGAGACTTGGTTAAACAGATGGGCCACAGGAGACACTGAAAGAGGTTTACAGACATATGGCTGGCCCTGATCCTTATGACAGCACTAACCATCTATCAAGAGGACCAGGCCACCATCTTCAGACTTAGAACGCAACATACTCCACTCAGTGGACATCTAAACAGAATACAGCCACAATACTCCCCAGAGTGCCAGTATGTAACTACCCCTACGAAACTGTTGAACACCATCTCTTTGAGTGCCCAAAACTCAGCGAGACTTGAAGAATGCTACTCCCTCCGTGACCAGACAAGTTGAACACTTTGTACGGAGGAAAAGAACAGCTTGTGAAAACATGCAAATTCCATTATATGGCACTGAACCAGAGGGCGAAAGTTCAAGCGCCGCTTGATCGATAACAACAACAACAACACCTTGATCTATCCTGTTTGTTTCTCAAGCAAGTTGTTATATAAACCACCATTGAACTTTACCAACTCTGTCCTTCTATTACTACCTAAGCCAGTTATATTAATCAACTTATTTTTATTATAACTTACTTTTTGAATTACATTTTTGCTCATTCTTTCCAAACTGCTTTCATAACTCATCAATTAGACAAGAAATTTTTATAACTCATGGACATACAGACAGCCATAGTCTTTTTCTTTTTTCTGTGTTCATCGTTAAAAGGGTAGTCCAATTGGTAGGCTATGGTTTAAAGCTAAGTTGGTGATACCTGCACCTCAAGGCAAATTCATTCTATTGTGTATGTATGTATGCATGTATGTGGGTGTATGTATTCATGTGAGTGTAAATGTGTGGTTGTGGGCATATGTTGGTGTCTGTACATGTGATTGTATATGTGTGTATGTATGGAATGTGTGTGTGCATGTATATCCATAAATGTATGTGTGCGTGTTTTCAGTTTGTGCATTTATGTCTATGTGCTTTATGTATGTATGTAGATGTGTGTGTCTATGTATTATGTATGTCTGTATATGAGTGTGAGTATGTAAGATTGTGTACACATTATGTGTGTATGCATTATTTTATAATTTTTATTTCTTTATTATATCCATAACAAGCATTATTGATAACAGGCATAGGTACTCTGAAAAATGAGTGCTTAGAAGGGCCGAATGTCAGACGGGCTTGCGTGCCCAATTTGTAAGCCTTTGAAAATAAAGTTTGTTCGTTCGTTCAGCAACAACTTAATTAATTGCCTTCTACGATTGCTTTTTAGGGAACAGTAAGTCTTTTTATCACTCAAAACGAGAGAATGCAACCACTACTAGAAACAGTTAATGTAAATCAAACTGCTATCTGGAGCAGAAAAAGATACTTCTTCTTTGTTCTTAAGCTCCGGAGGAAAGTCCTGGATGTTCGTCCATTTGGACTTTGTGCCAGGGCCTGAGTTTTGCGTCTGCATCCATTTTACTGGCTTATTTGTCTTTTTTCTTTTTTCATTCGCCCAAAATAAGTTGTCTATATATCAGCAATTTTGTCTCTTGTATAAATTTTACTGTCATTGTTAGTTAATTCAATGGCCAATAGAGTTTATGTTTCACTGTTGTTGTTCTGGCCAAAAGGTTTGCCTTAATGTGTCAAAATCGGTGCAGTCCTGGAGTACATGCTCTGCTGTCTGGGGCACCTTTCCACAGGTGCACATGGCTGATACGCCTATCTTGAATTTTGTGTACATGTAGTAACGTAATCGGCTGTGCCCTGTTCTGAGGCGGAGGATAATGACTTGTTCTGATCTGTCCATAATAAATTAGTCATCTTGTTCTGGGGCCGGTAGTTTCCTGATTGATTTAATGATCCTTTTCTTTTGGTGGTATGGCTTATTTGTGTGAAGCTGGTTGTTCCTTGCCATTGGGGCATATGCATTCCGACTTAAAAGGACTCTCTATTAGCTTGCTGGGTAGGCAGTGGGTATATTTTTGTTTTCCCCACAATGCGGCCTCGGAACAAACACAGGGAGAAAAAAAAAAGATACTAAAATTAACAAAATAGTTCCCAAATTGCTTAAGCCAGAGCTTATCAAATAACTTCTTCGACTCATAAATTAGACAAGGTATTTATTGCCCCACGTTTTCCACCAGGCTTTTATGTATTTTACTTGATACTCATGTTATGTATATTAAAAAAAGATAACATGCGATAGATAAAATATAATTTCAGTGTAGAACATGAGTGTTGGAAGGACTAAATGTAAGAAAGTCCTGTGCATCTAATTTGTGACAAAATAAAGTTTGTTCCTTTGTACTACACATGTAGCAGTGAAACATATACAAAATGTCAGGACACTCACTTGCTCCTCTGCAGAGCCCAACAAGTTCATGGCTCGAACATTGACACTCTTAGACAATTTGGTTTTAGTCTCAGTCAACTTCTGGATTCTCTTCTCCGCTTCTTTAGGATCTTGTGCATCAAAGTCATAAATGGTGTTGGGCTGGCCAAAGAATTTCCTCTCATCCACAATCCAGTCGTAGTTTTCCAGTAAAGACTCCACCTGTAAAACGAAAAAACAGCAAAATAATAAAGTATCTTAAAAAGGCAGCTGAAAAGTGCTACTGTTCTGAATTTTTGTGTGTGTAGGTAATGTTACTGTTCTCTATTTTCTTGTTAAGGTAATGTTACTGTTTTCTATTTTCTTGTTAAGGTAATGTTACTGTTTTCTATTTTCTTGTTAAGGTAATGTTACTGTTTTCTATTTTCTTGTTAAGGTAATGTTACTGTTTTCTATTTTCTTGCTAAGGTAATGTTACTGTTTTCTATTTTCTTGTTAAGGTAATGTTACTGTTTTCTATTTTCTTGTTAAGGTAATGTTACTGTTTTCTATTTTCTTGTTAAGGTAGGTAATTTTACTGTTCTCTCTTTTTTTTTTGTAGGTATTGTTACTGTTCTCTTGTAAGGTAATGTTACTGTTTTCTATTTTCTTGTTAAGGTAGGTAATTCTACTGTTGTCTAATTTTTTTTGTTTAGGTTATGTTACTGTTCTGTTTTCTTTGTAAGGTAATGTTACTGTTTTCTATTTTCTTGTTAAGGTAGGTAATTCTACTGTTGTCTAATTTTTTTTGTTTAGGTTATGTTACTGTTCTGTTTTCTTTGTAAGGTAATGTTACTGTTTTCTATTTTCTTGTTAAGGTAGGTAATTCTACTGTTCTTTATTTTCTCATAAGGTAAAGGTTTTTCCATTACACTGAAACGTGACGTGTTAAAAACAAAAAAATATTGTTTGTTTTGTTTTGTATAAATGTGCTGTCTCCACAACCGAGGTTAGATTTAATGTATCCACTGCTTACTCTTGTCACCGCTTACTCTTGTCACCGCTTACTCTTGTCACCGCTAACTCTTGTCACAGCTTACTCTTGTCACCGCTTACTCTTGTCACCGCTTACTCTTGTCACCGCTAACTCTTGTCACAGCTTACTCTTGTCACCGCTAACTCTTGTCACCGCTTACTCTTGTCACCGCTAACTCTTGTCACAGCTTACTCTTGTCACCGCTTACTCTTGTCACCGCTTACTCTTGTCACCGCTTACTCTTGTCACCGCTTACTCTTGTCACAGCTTACTCTTGTCACCGCTTACTCTTGTCACCGCTAACTCTTGTCACAGCTTACTCTTGTCACCGCTTACTCTTGTCACCGCTAACTCTTGTCACCGCTTACTCTTGTCACCGCTTACTCTTGTCACCGCTTACTCTTGTCACCGCTTACTCTTGTCACCGCTTACTCTTGTCACCGCTTACTCTTGTCACCGCTTACTCTTGTCACAGCTTACTCTTGTCACCGCTTACTCTTGTCACCGCTTACTCTTGTCACCGCTTACTCTTGTCACCGCTTACTCTTGTCACAGCTTACTCTTGTCACAGCTTACTCTTGTCACCGCTAACTCTTGTCACAGCTTACTCTTGTCACCGCTAACTCTTGTCACCGCTAACTCTTGTCACAGCTTACTCTTGTCACCGCTAACTCTTGTCACCGCTAACTCTTGTCACAGCTTACTCTTGTCACAGCTTACTCTTGTCACCGCTAACTCTTGTCACCGCTTACTCTTGTCACCGCTTACTCTTGTCACCGCTAACTCTTGTCACAGCTTACTCTTGTCACCGCTTACTCTTGTCACCGCTTACTCTTGTCACCGCTAACTCTTGTCACCGCTAACTCTTGTCACCGCTTACTCTTGTCACCGCTTACTCTTGTCACCGCTAACTCTTGTCACCGCTAACTCTTGTCACCGCTAACTCTTGTCACCGCTTACTCTTGTCACCGCTTACTCTTGTCACCGCTTACTCTTGTCACCGCTTACTCTTGTCACCGCTTACTCTTGTCACCGCTTACTCTTGTCACCGCTAACTCTTGTCACCGCTTACTCTTGTCACCGCTTACTCTTGTCACCGCTTACTCTTGTCACCGCTAACTCTTGTCACCGCTTACTCTTGTCACCGCTTACTCTTGTCACCGCTTACTCTTGTCACCGCTAACTCTTGTCACCGCTAACTCTTGTCACCGCTTACTCTTGTCACCGCTTACTCTTGTCACCGCTTACTCTTGTCACCGCTTACTCTTGTCACCGCTTACTCTTGTCACCGCTAACTCTTGTCACAGCTTACTCTTGTCACCGCTTACTCTTGTCACAGCTTACTCTTGTCACAGCTTACTCTTGTCACAGCTTACTCTTGTCACAGCTTACTCTTGTCACAGCTTACTCTTGTCACAGCTTACTCTTGTCACCGCTAACTCTTGTCACTGCTAACTCTTGTCACTGCTTACTTGCATGGTTATTTCAATGTTGTGCTACGTGCCCGTCGGTTTGTGAGTATCGATACTAACCTATTAAGAACAAGCAACAACAACCCTTGTCTGGACTCTAGCAAAAGTGTTATGGGACAGCGAGTCTAATTAAGAATCAACAACACATCACTCAGAACATTCCCTTAAGCGTTCAGTCCCTGTCTTCAGCAGCAGCATCATTCTCCTCGGACCAAGATGATCCATCTGAACCTCCTCACTGTTCTCCCCCCCCCCTCCCCCCAATGCTGTTACAACATCTAGCTTGTCCTGCATCAACTGACCACCAAGTTGTGCAGAACCAGCCAGTCTATCTGACTGTTCATTTCCTAATACACCGGTATGTACTGGGAAAAATATCCAAAGGTTGCTAACTACCTCAGACCTCTGAAGTGATACTTGCCATTCTTCATGGAGCATACCAGTCTTCACCTTTCTCAACATGCTTTGTGAGTCAGTTACAATTACGACACATGTGTACAGCTGATTCTAAAGCCAATGAAAGGCTGCAGTTACTGCCTCCACCTCCATTCTTAAACTAGATGTTGTGTTATCTGTCAGGCTTTGTTGCAATGATGTCTATTCCCTTTTGCTATGAACCCCCATGTACTTCGCTTACCTACAGAGCCATCCATATAGATAATTATATCACCTGGGCGGGACTGGTCATAAATCATTTCTTGAACTTCTGATTCTGCAGCACCAGCTGGGCAGTCTCTGCACTCACCACCTAGTGATTCGGACCCTACATTATAGAGCCATATCCTAGCCCAGATCTGCCTTATTAACTTACATATCTGCTCGCTTCTTTCGAGTCCTTCTGAAACTTGGTCGTCTTGTGCTCCAGATCTTGAATCTGAAGCCCACAATCTTTGCTCTCTTTGTTGAGTTTCTTCTTCTCTGTGTCTAAGTTGGCAATGTCTTGATTGTACGCTTTCAGAGTCTCTCTATGCTTGTTTAGTGCCTCCTGGGCTTGCTGCACATGATTCTGGGGAGAGAGAAAACAAACAATGTAAAACAGTAAGCAAAGAACCGTATCAATTATTTCAGCAGAAATACAGATATAAGATACAGATGGGAGAACTGATCATCATCCTCATCCTCATCATGTAGCAGGTCCTTTGCAGAACGTTGCTCTCATCATGGTCTGCAGTAAAGAAACTCGGTCTCTCGCCAGCTCTCCCGCCTCATGTACTTTCATACTCAAGGAGTCACTTATATCCTGTGCCCTTTTTTGTGTTGGTCGGCCCCTGCCCCTCCTTCCTAGTACCATGCCTTCTGCTATTATTTGTTTCAATCTGTCGTGGTGATAGTCATATTGAATAAGAATACTTCCTGCATGTAAGGGCTCCCTTTTGGAGGGAAAATTGGCCCATTGCCTCATAACAAATTATTTGCATATCCTTTACAGGATGTTGCAGAACCAACGCCAGCATTTTTTGTGTGTGGCTGTAGTGGTTTTTCTAGGCCAAATTTACATTCAGTAGTTTGCCATTGCTTTCTGGATAGTTAGCTCTCTGTACCACTGGCGAAACCAATGCAAGGCAAACTGTCTGCAGCTGGGATCGAACCCAGCATTACAAAACGCGTTCACAACGCATAAGCCACAGATGTAGACTAACAACCATGTAATAAAAAGGTAACTAATTTGTTGTTAGCTGTATATCAGGCTAAGATTTACATACATTTTAAGAATTCTCTTTCTCATCTCAAATGACCAAGAAAGATTGCAAAGAATATTTTTCATGTTGTAAAATGCATGAATGAATCACTAATGTGGAGCTTTGGGAGAGAACTGAGCCAATTTTGGTGAAACAAGAAGTTAAACAAGAAATAAAAAATACTGGTGCAGGGCATGACTTATCTTGAGAGAACAATATAACTAGAACGTTCTTACACTGGAACCCACAAGGTCCCAAATCTATAAAAATTAATGTGCATGGAAAAAAAAAAACAGGTTCTGAAACAAGACCATAATCTAGAAGTGGACAAACAACCAGAACTGCTGCCAGAGTTAACCACTGGTGAACGTGAAGAAAGGAAAACTCTAACAAGAAACAAAGGCACAAAACTTATAAATCTACTTTATGAGCACTATCTTCACGTTTACATCAAACAACTATTTAACAAACACAAATACAGACCATGCTGTATAGATATATGTAACTACCTGAGACACTGCAAGTTCCTCGTTGAGCTCTTTCAAAGCCTCACTGATAGCTGTAATGGAATCTGCCACAGTCACCAGTAACTCTTCGTACGACTGCATCTCCTTCTGCAGGGTCTCAATCTCTAGCTTCATGCCATCAACCTCCTGTCAAGTACATGCACATTAGAAATAAGCCCTTCTGCCTAACAAACATTATGGAGGGGGAAAAGCCTAAAATAATAATTTAAAAAAAAAAAAAAACAGTAATCAATAAGCACAAACACACACAGTGGGTAACTAAATTCCTAGTCCCTTGAGCTTTAAAAAACGTTTTTTTTTTTTTTTTTAAATCATGGCTCATGTTGTAACACTGATTATTCAAGGCTAAAAGAAATTTATGACATCATCACGGCTTTAAAAAAAAAAAATTTATGCCACACATAAAAATAAACACAAATGCTATTTCTGGTCAATATAATCATATATGGCCCTTCTAAACATTGTGCAGGTGCAAACAGAATCAATGTCATTATCTAAGCATGCTGGGGACTGGCCAGTGGTTAAGTGGCATCTCTAAGATTTGCAACTAGAGGTGACGTTCAATTAGTGGCACCAGTTGGCCAAAGGTAGATCTGCTTGAGTGAATGTTTTGGGTTGCACATATTTTAGGATGTGAGGTAATGAAGTAGGGTGGCAAGTTCCTTTGCTAATTTGTCTTCCCAGATGATTCTTAAAAGTGTCTTGTATTGATTTAATGAGGCAGGATCTACCTGTGGTCATACGACTTAATCCTGCCATTTCTAGGGATTTAACCCAGATCATTTTCTTGTCAGATATGTTACATGTTCAGCATGGAGACAGTGAGATGGCTGCTGCAACGTACAACAGAGCATGATTGGATCAGATCGATTTGCTAGGATTTTATGTGGATAACAAATACTTTTCTTCACAGACCCGCAGACTAACTACCACGGCACTGCAGATCACAGAGAAAGCAAAAAAGTAACCCTGTAATATACACAGCAGGTCGTTAGAGCCAACAAAGGAGGGTCGACAAAAGGTTGTCTAGCTCATCCCATAGAAAACTTTAGCCACAAACTCCATTCAATGACAAAGTTTACAAATAGTCAGGCATAAGTTGGCTGAGAATCTATACCTCAAAAAGCAGAAGAAGAAGCTGCAGCAACAGTAGAAGAATATTCAAAAAGTGGCAGCAGAAAAAAAAAAGAAGAAACAGAAGCAGAAGATAAGAACCAGAGGAAAGGGTTGGGGTGGTGGAGGAGGGGGGTCTTTCGAAAGAAAATTTGAATAAATGATAGACCACTGATAAACTGTAGAAGGACAGCAAATTTTACATGCTGAGAAATTACCAGAGAGTTGTAGCAATTTCCCATGATGACAGCAAGTAAGCAGCACCCACATACTGCCCACTGGAAGAGAATCAAGTTATCACTAGTCCATAATTCTATCTGCCCACACTCAAATGAACATCTCATTCAAACACTTGCAGTGCCTTATGCCAGTGATATTCAACTGGCGGCCCGCAGCGGCCTAGCAACACTTTGGCCCCTGAGAAAAACATGTTTTATTTGATAGTGCGTGTGCAACTCCTGATCTGAAATAACTGATGCTTACATCTATAGTGAACTTCAATTCTATTAACATACTTTTGACATTTCTGACAGCTGGCGAGACTGCAGTTTTTTTTTTTTTAACTGAAGGAAGCAGTAGGTATTTCATGTGGTTTTTGCTGGTCTAGGTATAGAGCAAATGTGGGATGACCAGTCTGTGATGAAGTTGCAGCTGCGATTAACTGATTCCAAAAGCTACCTAAGAAATCAAACTCGTCATCGTGATAATTTTCTTCTTTTTCTTTATTCAAAATTATTTGGCTTTAGTTTAATTTTGTTTGCCTGTTTGCCAACATGTTTGACTTTTTCATGGTTAATGTTGACCGGGCTGGTCCTTATTAATAATTTAAATACTGCAGGAAAAACTGAGGGTATGCATCTTCCCTGTAGCAACATACGGGTATGAGTCGTAGACTATCTTGTAGTCAGTAACTAGGGAGGAAACAAGGGCCTTTTTAACTAGAATGCTATAGAGATTCTCAAAAGAAAAGAAATACTGAAATCCTAAAAGGAAGACTGGCTGGTTAACAGCCTCTTGTCTTGGAAGCTGAAATATTTGTCCATATTGCATGACAGACTGGAAAGAATAGTAGCAGAAGGCATGGTGCTGGGAGAGAGGGGCGAGGAGATGAGCTCAGGATATAAGCGAAACCTTGGGTAGGAAAATGCAAGAGGTGGGAGATCTGGTGAGAGGCCAAGTTTCTTTCGGGCTGACTGTAATGAGAGCGACATTCTGCAAAAGGACCTACTACACGATGATGAGTTAAGATGACAGCTAGGAATGTCTAGAAGGCATTCACATGTTGGGTGTTGCCCCAAACATCTGACTTCAGTCTGTTTGTATGCCGAGCCAACTCTAACTTGTGTTCAACAGGGAAGCTGGCCTGTTGTGTTTTACAGACAGGTTGTGATATCTGTGACTTTCGCTCCATCGTATAAGATTTCAGAAAACTCTAATAAGTAACATTTAATAACATGCTTGTTGACGGTGAAGAGCTAGAGACAGTAGACCATTTTACTTATTTGGGTTCCACAGTGAATAGCAAACTATCGCTGGACTTAGAAATCAACATCAGGATAGGTAAGGCAGCAACAACAATGAGCAGATTGACAGAGAGAGTTTGGGAGAACAGAAAGCGCACAATTAAAACCAAAACCCTGTCTATCAGGATTGTGTTCTCAGCACTCCGCTTTATGGCAGTGAAACATGGTCAACCTACTTGCACCAGGAGAGACAGCTAAATAGCTTTTACATGCAATGCCTAAGAAGAATATTTGGCATTAAGTGGCAGGAGAAAATCACAAACATTGAGGTACTGGAAAGAGCAGGTACTACAACAGTCTTTTCCATGCTCAGTCTATAAAGGCTCAGGTGGCTGGATCACACCTAGAGAATGGAGGATGGCAAAGTCCCTTGGAACATCCTTTATGGTGAACTAAAGACAGGAAGAAGAGGTTGAGGCCAACCTCATAGCATAATATAACACTATCAAAAACATGCTTGTTGAGGGGTAGTCTACAAATCAAGAAACTGTAGGAGCTGAAAACGTACATTGACAGATGGTTTGAACAAACCTGAAGATGATCTTTTGCTTTATTTGCTGCTTCCTCCATTCTCTTCTTGCTTTCTGCGACTCTCTTATCAGCTTCCTTGAGTTCCTTTTCCCTTAGAGCTGACGCATTCTTCAGTTTATTTTCAAGATCCCTGACCTTATCCTGAGCTTTCTTCTGGATCTCTTCAGCTGTTTTGAGAATCTGATTCTGTTCCTCTGTAGCAAAGGAGACAATCACATACATTTTAACACTGAATAAATCATTACTTAAACTGTTATTTGTTTGGTTAGTTGTGCTCAATGGCTGAAAACTCCTCTGGAAAGTGCTGGTTGTCTGTCCATTTTTAGACTTTGGTTTTGTTCCGGGACTTGAGTTTTGCATGTGATCTGTTTTGAAGATCTGGCATATCTGTATGCAGACTGTTGGTTCCTCACTTCTCCTGAAAATGCCACTAATCTGTTGTTTCTTACGACATCTTGTTTGCGGGAGAGGTTCAGTGGGTCCATTTCCCCCTCCCTCCCAAATGAGGCTCAGGAAACCAACGTGAAGACTTTATTTATAATTCCCCCCCCAAAAAAAGACAGTGATTGTTAGAAAAATCTTGCGGTTTTAAAACCCTACATTAAATAAAAATGTAATGCCACAATAAAGTAATCAAATCTAGCAATGTTAACCCGATGAAAAAATGTTCAAAAAAGACAAATTGCCAACCAAAAGACACAGAACAATTATGCCCCAAACAAAAAATACTTGATAACTGAACAATAAGTCACGAGATTCTCCTTTTCGCCAGTACTGCAACTAGCATATGGTGCTATATTCATTTTTTTTAATAAGCTTAACAGCTAAAACCCCATTTTAGGCCTGGTTGACCTGCGAACCAAGGTCAATTCTGAAATTGACCCTTGATCTTTAGGCTGGTAAGCAAGTGTCTAGTGACTACCCTACCACCCCCTCATAAAATTAACAGGTCAAATAGCAGACATCGCTCAAGATGATGTGAAATGCTAATGAATGTTTGAGACTACAGATGTGATTTTGGTCCGACGTACTTTTCACTGCACACCGACATTGCCACAAATGCGCCAGTCTCCTAGTTCAGATCAAGGAAAGGAAAGGCAACACAGAGAGAAAGGAAGAACAGACCACTGTTCCCTAACTAGAATGTTGTAACATGCTACTAACTGGTTGTTTGCTGAACTTAGATGTGTTGGTCCAAAAGGTGCAGATATCACACGTAAGCTGTAGACCATAACAGTTTGTCAACCATCCTTTTAAGGGAGAGCATAGAAGCAGAAGTCCATAAGTGCTTGGATCCCCTAATCAGCATATCCCCAAGTGTGTAGCAGCTGACTTTACCAGGTCTATGTTGGTTTATTATTTTTTGACCTCCTGCATAGCGCACTTGTCTGTGGTCTATAAGCCAGTGAATGAGTTTGACAATTTCATGATCCTTGAGTACTAGGGTTCCATTTCTGCAGTGGACAGTGAGACAATGGCCAGACAAGACATTTGTATTTCTCTTAGAGATGTCTCATTTAAGTGATTTTGTGTATGCTTGTTCAAAATGGTAACATTAACATTTATAAAAGATAGTGAAGTTCATACTAGAGGCAACACTGCAGATATAGATAATCAAGCGAACGAAAGAAGAAGAAAAATTGTAATATTGTCTATTCATGTCTGAGCTGATAAAAGGCTTTCTCGCTGCAACATTTACTTGTCATTTGTGATTGTTCCCTGTGTGGATTCTAGGGCCCCAGTGTGGGAAAAATAAGAATAGACCTACTACAACGCCCCTAAGCATGTCAAAAGAGTCAACTAATTGGGAGCTTCCTTCAAAATCAGAGTGCATCTGCTCGGGTGGCAAGGAACAACCAACTGCGCGCACACAAATCATCATCATCATTAGGTGCCTTACCAGCTGGCATAGACGTTCACTGCGCGCACACAAATCATTATTATCACTAGGTGCCTTACCAGCTGGCGTAGAAGTTCATGCGTCTCCACAGAGCCTGGTCTTTGGTGTTCTGGATCAATTCCAGTTATGATATTTCATTCCTCCATGCCCCTGTCTTAATCCACCCACCATCATTTCTTTTGCTTCGCCTCTTCTATCAGTGATCTTTTCAATCGTCACAAAATTTTCCAGTGTTTCTTTTCTTATCACATATCCAAAGAACTTTGTCTCTTCATATTTGTATATAAAGTTTTACTTTCATTAGCTATTTCCAGCCAATCATTGTTATTTATATTGGCAGTCCAAGGTATTCGAACACTCTTCTCAAGAATAACATCTCAGTTGCCTCCAAACTCTTCTTAATTTGGCACACAAATAGGCCAGTAAAACGAATGTTCACACAAAACTCAGGCCCTGGCACAAAGCCAAAGTCCAAATGGACAACAACCAGGACTTTCCGCCAAAGCTTACAGCTGGTGAACAAAGAAAAAAAAAAGATTTGTAATTGTGATAATGTGAAAATGACCAGTTGTATTTCTCTCACCCCCCCCCCCCCAATCAACATAGAAACAGCGAGTGAGCACTTACCCACTGATGCCTTGAGGGAATTCACCTCCTCTAGCAGCTGATGATGACTGCTCTGTGCCAGCCGCACGCCCACTTGTTCAGCTTCCTGCGCCTTCAAGTCATACTGCTGTTTGGCTTCCATGTATCTAGTTACCAGGGAAAACAGTTAACAAGATTTAGTTGTTTAAAAAAAAAATGCTTTACTGGCAAATATGTTGGCACAGGCCTGGGATAACTTCTGTTATCACAGCTACCTTGTAATGAACCAAAGTTTCTATTTTTATTTGAGGTGGCAAACCCCATTTAATTTCCTTGGTCAAAAGGAGGAAACTGCGGAATAAAATTAGAATAACAAGGGCAAAGGGTTCACGAGACGAGACAAGACGAAATAGAATAACATGGGGAAAGATTGGTAAACGAAAGGGAAATGGGAAATTCGAGTGAACTGTTGTATGGAATACCACGACAATGAATGTCTTGTATAACAGCTGGTGACAGAGAAAGAAGAGGGCTTTAAATGTTTTTTTTAATGTTTATTAGTGAGAGAAATGAGACCACATTTTATACCAACACCCCCTCCAGAACCAAAGTATATGAAAACTAAAAGACAAGCTAAAATATAAAACTATAGATCAGCGGTTCTCAACCTATGGGATGCAACCATTTTTTGGGGTCAAACAACCCTTTCACAGGGGTCGACAAAGACCATCGGAAAACAAATATTCCTTGAAGTGGCAATTAAAATTATTGTTTGGTTAGGGGGTCACCACAACACAAGGAACTGTATTAAAGGGTCGCCGCGTTAGGAAGGTTGAGAACCACTGCTATAGATCCTCCTTTTATTCTTCTGCCTTTATCTCCACATGGGGCATTGACTCTCACCCAGCTCATGCAAATGGGGGTAAAGCCACAAACCAAACTAAACAGCATGTAGCAAAAAGAATATGAAGAAAAGGAAGAAGGAAGGGAGGAAGAAAAACAGGAGGGAAAAGCGGAAGAAAAACAGGAGGGAAAAGCGAAAGAAAAACAGGAAAAAGAAGAAGCAGAAGAAGAATCACGCCCAAATAAATGTAAAAAACAAAAGTGAAAACCAGACACATACTTGGTTGCAACCTTCCTGACTTCAGTCAGTTCTCTATCCAGCTGTTCGAGTCTCTTTGTTTTTGTGGTCAAGGTCTCCTCTATCTGCCGCAGCTCACTCAACATAGCCAGCATGGAGGTCGCTTGCATTCTGGCACCTTTGGATTAGATAAAGTTAAAATCAAAACATAATACTGCCCAGTTCTGACCATAAATGTTAAAATTTCAACCTAAATCTGGATCAGTGGAGACATGTTACCCCTTCTGTCCTAAGACACCAACAGCTCTGACAATAAATGTTAAAATTCCAACCTAAATCTGGATCAGTGGAGACATGTTACCCCTTCTGTCCCGAGACACCAACAATTAGGCTTCTGGGTTTCCTACAAATCTCAATACAGCCTATAGATAGGTGTTGCTGCATTAGCCAGTCCTCAACAAGCCTAGTTAATTGCATTGGTTCTGCTTGCACCTGTGCTGTGTTTATGACTTAAAAAAAAATAGCATAAGGGGGTGGGGGTGTGAGAGAGACGGGAGTGTGTGTTGGGGGGGGGGGGGGGGGGGGGGGTGTTAATTAATGAAAGATATAGCTTTTACTTTGCTTTTAACAGTCGTGCAGCAATGATAAATCACTGCAGACATTTCTGTTAGAACCAAGAGTATATTTTATGTAATTGTTTGTTTCGTTCATGTATTCCTCACATATTTATTTAAAACAATTTAAGATGCATGTAAATACATTTCTAAAACTAATTTATTAGTGATCAGTGCAAAATGTTTACTGCTAAAATAATGTTTAACCGAATTCCTGAGTTCATGAAGGCACGAGATCTGGTGAGAGAGTTTCCAAGCTGTGATGACACTCAGTGGTCTGCAAAAGACCTACAACATGACAGTGTGCATCTTATACATGAAAATAATGTCCATGATATGCTTAATATTCTTTTTAGTAGATTACATCCCCATTGCCTCTAGCTTTTCTACTGCCTTGCCGACTGGTGTGGGAGATCATGCCTCTCCACAATTTGTGTTTCCAGCCGCATGTATGAGTTTATGTGCCGACACCCTTTCATGCTAAGATAAAAGCAAAAATCTTCTCCTGTTGTCTTCTTTCATCTCTATTTTCATAAATCTTTCTAGCTGTTACATGAGCCAGTTTCTTTCTTCTCACAGCCCGTCCAAACAATGATGACTGTCTCTTTTTGATAACTTGTCCTTTTTTTTTTTTATCTTTTTCAAAACACCTGACTGCTCAAGATTCACAGCCACCATACACACATGAGCAAATAAAAACTTCTATATCTTTTTTCTTTTCTTCCGCGTTCATCCAAAGATGTAAACGCACTGTGCCTGTTTATAACATGATTGTGCCTTTCAGCTGACTTCTGCAAGCATTTGTTGCTCAGGTTAGCCTTTCCGGCACTTCTTTGGAAATATAACATGATAAAATGAAAGAACAATGCAGTAAACACATAATACAGAACTAAAAGCTCACCTCCAGACAAGGTACCAGCAGGATCGACAATATCTCCTTCAATAGTAACACACTTTTTGGCAATCTTTGGGTCATAGGCCACCTTGCTAGCACTGTCCAAATCCGAACATACAAATACTGAGCCAAACACAAACTGCATTATAGGGCTAAATTTATTGTCAAAGTTGACGAGCGAGATGGCTGGCCTCACTTTGTCTTTACCAACCTGGAAAATATAAATTAAACATGAAAGGTGTATACTTTGTATGAGCATTGATAAAATAAGAAAACAATTTCCTTACAAATTATATCCATTTTTAAATTCCCATTTTGTTAACTTACAATTTAGCCAAAATAATTTAAGTAAATTGGAAATCATGTGTTGATAAATGGATTCACAGATTTAAATATTTAGTTCCAATTACCAAAACAGTTTTGTAGTATGGAACCAACATAAAGAAAAGCCAAAAGATTACTAATAAACTACAAACATTCATTAACTGGAGTTTCTGGGAGAGCATTAAATAAATTCTTGTGATGCAAAAGGTGAGGAAAAGATACCGGCGTTAGACAGGAAACAAAAATGAGGAAAATCTGATTAAATTTAACTGGTATGTCCTTACACATGAACACATAGAGTACAGAAATAGAATGCAGACCAAAAAGGAATTAGAGAATGAGATTAATAGAATGAGATTAATTCAGTGAGATTAATTCAATGAAAGGAGGATATAACGTGAGCTGCACACAATGGCAAAAGACAGGAATATTTTTGTACCTGGTTGTCCATCCAACAGACTGTTACTGGCCCATTTCTTGAAGACACTGCTCCACTTGTATCACTGTCTGAATGATTCACGCCAGGTCGGGGCTATTCGACTAAACTTACCAGTGGGCAAAAATGCTGAGAATGGGGATTGTCACGGGCCAATGGCCCAAGCCCCAGCATGTTGAATGTTGAATTAAGTATGACATCACAGCACTCGGGACACTCCCATAAGTGCTCAGTCTATTATCTTCAGCAACAATTGAAGAGTTTCAATTCCGATGGTACCAGTAACTGTCTGACTGTATTTCTGTCTCATCCTTCCCCAGAGTGTTGAGCGTCGGCCAGATCCACATGGAACTCCTAGCAGCGCAATTCTCCTTTGACTGTAAAGATCTATTTGTGCCTCCACTGTTCATTCGCTCCCAAAGAGCTCCCACAATATCTAGCTTTTCATACATCAATTCACCACCAAGTGGTACAGAGCCAGCCAGCCAGTTTATCTGCCTGCTAATTTCCTAACACACCGGCATGACCTGAAGAAACTATCCAAAGGATGTAGTAGTGGAGCTCTGTGCTGGCTGCTAAGGATGGGGGCGGAGCCTTTATGAGAATGCCCTGAGTTATATCAATTCAGTTCCTAACTTTTGCATAACTTTATTTCACTTTTGGCAGTATTAGATGTTAAATTTCTAAGACAGGAATAACCCAAAGAAACACACATACTACAACGGATTGTTTTAACCCCCTCATGATGTAAAAAAGGATCCTTTTCCATGCCATTAAGCACATTAGGCATTTAGGGCTGGATCTATATTTTACCGGGTAATCAGCGCTTGGTGGGTGATGTGGTCATCATGCCACCTTTACTTCCAAGGACTTTTTCTGCTACTCATTTTAGGCAGGGTAGACCTAGCTGCATGGCTAGTCATCCTAAAACAAAAAATGTCCACAATTTACTGTGAATTGAACCCTGGTCTCCTACCATCTGGCTATCTGCTCCTCTAATATATAATGTCTAAAACCTCTGGCTACAACGAGTTTTCCAAGAATAGAAACAAACAAACAAAAAAACTCACCAAAGCTTCAGCTCTCCTCAGAGTTGGCTCATCAATAGTCCTGCCACTGATTTTGTTGATTGGGAGAATGGTGACCCTTCTCTTGAGTTCTCCATTTTTGAGAAGCTTCTTGCCAGTCAGCTCCGAATCCACCACAACATTGTACAGCTGCATCACAAATGAAATGACTTAACTCTTTCCATGCTAAACAACACACCATGATTACTTATATGCAACAGCCACAACATTATCATGCTTGTACACATTTTTATTTAGACAGGGTATAGGAAAACACCCAACGGCCCACGGGGCTCCGAGTTGTGTATTTAGCTCCTGTGGATGTGGTATGTCGGCTTCTGTGGCTTAGGCGTTGCGAATGTGCTTCGTAATGCCGGGTTCGATCCCTGTTGTGGACGGTTTGTCTTGCGCTGGTTTCGAAAGTGGTACTGAGAGCCGACCGTGCAGGAAGCAATGGCAAACTACTGCACGTAAATTTGCCTAGAAAAACCACAACAGCCAGAAAGTGCTGGGGTTGGTTCTGCTACGTCCTGTAAAGGATACGCAACTAATAGGATGTGGTATACACAAGATTAGCTATGCCTGAGACTTAAGAGTTAAAGAAAGTTTTCATGTGGGGACTGTTTAGCTCAAAGGTTAAAGAATGTGTTTAACAATTTCAGGACCTCCCTGTGTGGGTTCCGGGGCCCCATTGTGGGGAAAGCAAGAGTAAACCCGCTGCCTCCCCAACAAGCATGTTGTAAGAGTCGACTAATTGGGAGCTTTCTTTGAAGTTGGAGTGCATCTGCCTGAGATGAGACAAACCCACAGTCTGCATACAAATAATTCACATCTGTAAAACGGATGTGTATGCAACACTCCGGTTCTGGAACAAGTCTCTAAAGTCCAGAGGTGGATCAACAACCAGAACTTTCCGCCAGAGCTTACAGCCGGTGAAGGCAAAGAAGAAATTCAGGACACTCAAGTGCTAGGATTCAATTTCTGCAGTGAATGATTTGAACAGTGGATCAATTGTAGCTAAAATTCAGCACAGAGAGGTCCCAGGATATTCATTTAAAGGTGAAAGGATTGACTTTACTGCACTGAGTTTTATCCCATGTGAGTCGGTTCTCTGTCCATCGAAAATGAACCTACCAAATTTAGAGCGCAAGGCAAATGGCTTGACCATTTCATCACAGAGGTAGTTTTCAGCAATTAAAACAGAGCATGCTGGCCGGGCACTGATAGGCTAATCCCCATCGGGGTGTATTTTTAAAATAATTACCTAGCTCGTCAACCCTCGAACTTATTGAGGATTGCTATTAGAAAAGGTCAAGGGAAGCAAAGAAGTCTGTCTGATATTATCAGCATCTGACTAGAATCAAATGCCTTCCTATATGGAGACGTTGCTTAATTTTTTGGAGGGAGGGGGGGGAAACAGACCCACTGTCAGCAACAAACATGCCACAATTAGAAGTTTGCTAAAAGGTAATATATTGAAAATATAAAGTTCTGGTTGTTTGTCCACTTCTGAACTTTAGTCTTGTTCTAGAACTTGAGTTTTGCGTGTCCAGCCTTTTTACATTTCTGGTTTACTTGCAGACTATTGATTCTTCACCTTTCGGGCAGATGAACTTGAAGGAAACACCCCCTAATTAGCCAATGTTTCCAGCACGCTTTTTAGGGGTAGTAATTCTATTCCCCCCCCCCCTTTACACAAAATGGGGCCCTGGAACTCACACGTGGAGCCAGACCACTTTCACAAGTAAAGGAAAAAAATGTTACAGTAATAAAAACAGTGGGAACCACCGTGGTGTGGTGGCCTGACGCTCGCCTGCGGATCTGAAGGTAATTGGTTCAGGTATTTTTGAGCTGAAAATTTCTTCTTATTCCCAAAACGACTTTGCCTCCCAGGTTGACCCAGCCTTAAATGGGTACCAAGTAAAGTCCTGGTAAGTAAAGATGATTGGTGTCTTCTTCTTCACGTTCACTGTAAACTCTGGCGGAAAGTTCTGGTTGTTCATCCACTTCTGGACTGCAGTCTTGTTCCAGAACCTGAGTGTTGCGTATGCATCCGTTTGACAGATCTGACCCATCTGTATGCAGACTGTCATTTCCTTGCCTCTCAGGCAGTTGCACTCCGACTTCAAAGGAAGCTCCCAATTAGTCGACTCTTACGACATGCTTTTGGGTAGGCAGTAGATCTATTCTTGTTTTCCCTATAATAGGGCCCTGGAACCCATACGGGGTATGACTGGTGTGATGTTAGCCACAAATTTAGGTCTAGCCCTATATGCCTGAAAAAGGGATCCTTTACTTAATAAAACAGTACCTTTCCTCCTGCTGTCACCTCCAAGGCTGTGGAGAACTTGGAATCCTTCACATCAAACAGCTTACAGACAAGCCCATGAACTTTACTTCTGTCAAAGTTTTTCTCTGGATCTTTATAGTCAAATTTGAGATGTGGGTACCTGAAAATGTCGCAACACACAAAGGGGGATAATCAAACAGAAACTATGGGATGTCTAATTGATTGTGTACTGAAGCACACTTGTTCCTACCGATATCATTTAGAGATGGTAGGCTTGAATCCTGGTGTAGTCACATTTTTATTTTCAGCATTCGGGGTCCTTGAGGTTCATTGCTGCAGGTATCAGCCGCCTCTATTCATCTCTGAATACTGGCCTTCTCTTCCCAGTTGGTGACTTCAAGTGCATGTAAGCCTATCCGTACATTATCTGTTTATCATCTTCTTTGTCTGCCTTATGGTCTAATCCCATTTCTCTTTTGTGTATGCTTCTGTTATCTTCTAATCTCTATATGCACCAACCATTGTGGTCTATTAGCCCTCATGATGTCAGTAAATACCGGTGATTCAAACAAATGAATTCATTGTTGCTTTAGAATATATATTCTTTCACGTCTGAATCACACTAACGGCCCCCCCCTCCCCCCCTAAAAAAACTGTCATCGGGTTGTTCTCAAAACTTAGTAATAAGGTTTCATGACTTTTCACATAGTTACGTTAATGCTTTTGATTTTGTGTTTGTCTAGTGATATAAAAAACGTCTCTGCCAACTAGGCATTCCCATGCGTGCTTAGTCCTCTCATACAGCAGCCACTCCAAGGTACCTCTACTGATTGTTCCCATGAGAAGTTGGTTACAGTAAGTAGAAATGAAATTACAATTGATGAAGCCATAAATGCAAAACTGATGGTGATATACTAAATTAAATTACAATTTACAGGATTATTGAAAATGATGGATACACTTTCATTCATGTTTAGATCCTTGAATAATCATTACAAATAATTAAGGTTTTAAGGTCTAAAATTTATAAAATTACAATACAATAGGATGATCAATATGGCTCCTAACTGTTGCTCGGCAAACATGTAAGCAGTAGCCAAACTCATCCCGCACTTGAAGAAGCCTCTCTTGTGTAAATGAATTCACTGCATCTGTGATACCTGCACTGGCAGGTCAGCCAAAGTTTACTAACTACGTTCTAGAGGTAGTAATAGAAACTTTAGATCTTCCCCCATCTCTTGTATGCATATTAATAATATATAATGTATATTCAAGGAAATAAACAAGAATGAAAGTGTATCCATCATTTTGAATAAACCTGTATGACAGAAACAGAAAAAATACACAAAATTAACATGAAAAATACAGGAAACTAAAAGGTAGAATATAAAAAACTAACAACAATATATGAAAATGACAGAAACAATTTACAGTGCTGACGTGGTAAGGAGAACACAAATGGCACCCAAGAAATGGTTCTCATAAACTCCTCTTACCCAGATAAGAGTTTGAGCAAGAAAAATTGCTGGGGATAAACAAACTGTTCTTCTCAATGAAATCAGCATTGTATGAAACACACAGCACACAGACAAAAATCAATACCTGGCTTCCACAGTCAACAGCTTTTCTTTATGATCCTGTACCTCCTTGGCCAGGGTTCTCCTCTCTGTTGCCAGGGCGTCCTCTGAACCTTCTTCATACCCAAACTTTTTCATATCAGCCTAAACCAAAGAAAGAAACACATTATCAAAGCTGAGCCCTGCAGGCTTACAGAGTGAACAGTGGCTGGCAGAGTGATTAGAGTGTTGGGCTCTTATGCGGGAGACCCAGGTTCGATCCTTAGAAAACGATGCCAATTTCTTTCTCTCTCTCTCTCTCAGGGAGCAGAATAACAATTCTAAACACGCAGTTTGTGCTCTAGCAATGCAGCCCTAAATCCTCAGGCTTATTCCCCCTTTTCAAGGCCCCCCCCCCCCCTCTTCAACTTACACTGTTGAAGTGGTTACAAAATAGGTAGTAAAGGAGTCCTACCCCAAAACCCTTTATCCAATTGGTTTTTTTAATTTTATTTCTATTAACCTAATGTGCTTATTAAGACATGTTTGTTGTTGCCAATACTGCGTGTTTACACTGTTGAAGTCATTAAAAAATAGACAGTAAAGGAGTCCTACCCCAAAACCCTTTATCCAATTGGTTTTTTAAATTTTATTTCTATTAACCTAATGTGCTTATTAAGACATGTTTGTTGCTGCCAATACTGCGTGTTTACACTGTTGAAGTGGTTACAAAATAGACAGTAAAGGAGTCCTACCCCAAAACCCTTTATCCAATTGGTTTTTTAAATTTTATTTCTTTTAACCTAATGTGCTTATTAAGACATGTTTGTTGCTGCCAATACTGCGTGTTTACACTGTTGAAGTCATTAAAAAATAGACAGTAAAGGAGTCCTACCCCAAAACCCTTTATCCAATTGGTTTTTTAAATTTTATTTCTATTAACCTAATGTGCTTATTAAGACATGTTTGTTGCTGCCAATACTGCGTGTTTACACTGTTGAAGTCATTAAAAAATAGACAGTAAAGGAGTCCTACCCCAAAACCCTTTATCCAATTGGTTTTTTAGATTTTATTTCTATTAACCTAATGTGCTTATTAAGACATGTTTTTTGCTGCCAATACTGCGTGTTTACACTGTTGAAGTCATTAAAAAATAGACAGTAAAGGAGTCCTACCCCAAAACCCTTTATCCAATTAGTTTTTTAAATTTTATTTCTATTAAACTAATGTGCTTATTAAGACATGTTTGTTGCTGCCAATACTGCGTGTTTACACTGTTGAAGTCATTAAAAAATAGTCAGTAAAGGAGTCCTACCCCAAAACCCTTTATCCAATTAATTTTTTGAATTTTATTTCTATTAACCTAATGTGCTTATTAAGACATGTTTGTTGCTGCCAATACTGCGTGTTTACCAACTTATGTGGTGTAGCTAAAACGTTAGTGCTGTCGCCACGGACTGTGCAAGTTGGGATTCTATTTTTGTAACTGACAGAAAAATATCCCTAACCTTACCGAGGGTCTGAACTCAGGTCTCAATCATTAGGCTGAATACTAAAAGTGCGGAAAAACACAACAATAATGAACTAAAGAATTTCTTTCTGAGAGCTACGGTATTGTAGGTTAAACACTTGACTGTTGTCCCCAAAGGTCTTGAGTTTGAATGCCTAAGAGGAGGCAGATTTTTAAATAAAAACGGGTATTAAGAAATTCTTGGGAAGTAAAGGTCACAGGGATGGTGTTGATGACGTTGATAGGGGCTGACTGTAAGCTCGCTGATGAAAGATGTGCCAAACACAACAATAAATGCGACTAGAAAGCTCAGCAGAGTTTAGTCTTTCAAAACACTGGTCTAATACCATGCATCTGGTGCAGCTGAAGGCGTGGAACTCATTAACTAAAGAATCTCGGAGGAAGTATTGAGTTGGATTATATCTCTACATCGTTATCATCATCATCCTGTTGTGCCATTAAATGTCACATAGGGCTCAGTCTATTCCTCCATTCCATCCTATGCAATCAGTTCTATTACATGTATGGAATCCAGTCTGGAACCCCTAGCCTCTATCACCAACGTTCACTTTAATTTCTTTAAAGATCAGCATCGTTTCGTCTCAGGATGTGTTCAATATACAGCCTTTTTATATACTGCTGCTGCCAGTGGTTCCCCAGACTTGTGTCTTGTTTCTTCACTCATCTTAAATTCATACCGAGTGCAGTCCCAGGAAGTAAAGGCGACTGGCGTGATGCTGACCACATCACCCATCTTGTGCCATTTGGTCTATAAAACTATAAATCTAGCCCTATACACCTAAAGGCCTGGAAAAGGTACCTTTACTTTTAATCACTTTTTAAAGAAATTTATCAATTACTAAATTTAAAATTAAAAAAAAAATTTTTTTAATGATGCGAGTACACGAAGAAACTATAAATGACTTACCTCGAGTTTACTGAGATTTTTCTTCAGGGCTTCATAGTTGGTCTGATTCTTTTTATAATCCTGCTCTGTCTTCTTGAGCTCAGATTCTTTGCTTTTGATTTCCTGCTGTGCATGCTTCAGTCTGTAAACAAAAACAGATTTTTATAACTTTACACAATCTTCATAACAATAAACAAATATATCCTTAAGGGCATATGCATTAGAAATGCGTAATGAATTCAGGCACTATATGTATCACTGGACATACATATATATAATCCTGTTGTGCTATTAAATGTCACATAGTGCTTGCTGCAGTTTATTATTCTATCCTGCGCAATATATATATATATATATATATATATATATATATATATATATCTCAAGACCCACTTACGTTAAGAGCAATTTTCCACGAAGTAGTGGCTAAACTCTTAACTGCGGATCAGAAGGTAGCGGGTTTTGGTTCTGGCGGAGGCGCAACTTTTTTTTCTCTTCTCAAAAATGACCTTGACTTCTTTCTAGGTCGACCCAGCCTTGAGTGGGTACCAGGAAGTCGGGACACCCCCATATGAGAGAGAGAGAGAGAGAGAGAGAGAGAGAGAGAGAAATTCAAACCCGGGTCTCCCCCCGCTTGAGAGACCAGCGTTTTAACCATTCGGCCGGCCGCTCCTAGACAAATTAGCAGTTTGCTGAAATCGAATGTGTTTGTCTGAAGGTTCAGATATGGCAGCCTAGCTGTAAACCACAACGCACTATGCCAAGTGTCTCTTTGAGGGTGAATGCAGAAAAATACCTAAAGTAACAACTTAAAACAGAGTGAGTTAAGTACCATCTGTCTGGTGCAGAGTTTTGAGAGAAGAAAAATATGATAAGACATGTTACCTCATGTGAGCTTGTTTTGTCTCTGTCTCTGCCTTGCAGATATCACTTTTAGCAGCTGCAAATAAACAAACATTACTGAGCACATTTATGTTAAAAAGTGCAAATATTTTGCTCAAACAAATGGGGTACATGGGCAATACAACACAACATACAAAACGCACACATGAATGTTAATTTTGCCCCAGTAAACACAGGGTTGACTGACTGACTGACTTTCTACCCCAGCAGGACATCACACAGGCGATAAACACCCGATGACACAACATACAAAACGCACACATGAATGTTAATTTTGCCCCAGTAAACACAGGTTTGACTGACTGACTGACTTTCTACCCCAGCAGGACATCACACAGGCGATAAACACCCGATGACACAACGTGCCACCTTGTGTGTGAGGATCACCGTGGAGAGGTCCCAGAAACCGCGTTCAGCCTTTAGGCCATATATATGGCCAGGCTATATTGCGGCCCCTGGCAAAAGCCGGAGTAGGGCTTCAAATAACGAAAAATTCCAACCTAAAAAGGACGGGAAATAATAGCATCATAACACAGGGTTGAAAACTAAACTAACCACTATAAACTGTGATTCCTATCTTTTACACAGAGATGAATTATTCTTCTTCTTCGTGGTCACCGGTTTCTGGTTGTTTGACTACTTCTGGACTTTAGTCCTTTTCCAGAAACAGGGTGTTACACTCACATCAATTTCACATGTCTGACTCATGCAGACTGTTGGTTCCTTGCCTTTCAGGCAGATGTAATCAAACTTCAAATTAGTCAACTTTTACGGAATGATTTTGGGCTGGAAGAGAGTCTTTCTTGTTTTCCCCTACAATGGGGCCCCGCAACCCATAAAGGGAACAGAAATAAATCAAACAGATCAGATTAGATTAATAAGTAGGTGATTAAACTGATATATACAGGACTGAAAACTGGATTAACCACTATTAAACTATGATTCCTATCTTTCACACAGACATATATAAAACAAATTAGATTAGATAGATAAGTATGTGATTAAACTGATAAACACAGGATTGAAAACTGGATTAACAACTATTAAACTGTGATCCTATCTTTCACACACATATATAAAACAGATTATATAAGATAGATAAGTATGTGATTAAACTGATAAACACAGGATTGAAAACTGGAATTATCACTATTAAACTGTGATTCCTATCTTTCACAGACATATATAAAACAGATTATATTAGATAGATAAGTAGGTGATAAAACTGATAAACACAGTACTGAAAACTGGATTAATCACTATTAAACTGTGATTCCTATCTTTCTCACAGATATATATATAAAACAAATTAGATTAGATAGATAAGTAAGTGATTAAACTGATAAACACAGGTATTAAACTGTGATTCCTATCTTTCTCACAGACATATATAAATCAGATTAGATTAGATGGATAAGTAGAGGATTAAACTGATAAACAGAGGATTGAAAACTGGATTAATCACTATTAAACTGTGATTCCTATCTTTCACACAGACATATATAAATCAGATTAGATTAGATGGATAAGTAGAGGATTAAACTGATAAACAGAGGATTGAAAACTGGATTAATCACTATTAAACTGTGATTCCTATCTTTCACACAGACAGATATAAATCAGATTAGATTAGAGGGATAAGTCAGTGAGTTAACGGAAAGACAGACAGCTAAGATGGACAGACAAGCACTCAGAGAGTGCAGAGGTGCATCATCATCATCTGCAGTAGTGCACCAGGAACAGGTCAAGGCCTGTCTAGACCTCGAAGTGGTCATACAAGAAACAAGTTCCCCACTAGAGGCCTGGCCTTTGCAGACGGGATCGGTGTTTGATTCAAAGTTCAAGTGCATCTGTCAGAGCCAAGGGACCAACAGTCTGCACAATAAGTCAGATCTGGAAAATGGATGTACATGCAACACTTAAATCCTGGAACAATAAAAATCTATATACAGGCATTGTTCCAGGATTTTCTAAGTTTTTAGCCGACAAACAGAGAAGGAAAAAAAGAACAAAAAAGTACACAAGACGCAGCTTAGAAATCAATAGCATAGGACTTTCTGTTCCTCGCACCGGTTTTGGGGCCTCCATTAGGGGGCGTTTTCCCCAATGTCCCTCAACAAATATATTGTAAACAGCGACTATTTAAGATGTTGTAATCAGATACCTTGGGCCCAAATGTGCTGATACCGCAGCCCAGCTGTAAAACACAAAACAATGTAATAATAGAAGCAAATGATTCCCTTACTGATCAACTGGTCATTTAGTGTAGCTGCCTCTCCATCAGAGTTTGAGGACAAGCCAGCACTTACGGCCTGGAAATGTTTCTTTGCTGCTTCATACTCTTGTTCCGCTGCTTGTTTCTCTGATCGCATCTTTTCAGCACTGCCTTCAATCTTACCCAGATCTTTCTCTCGGGTTACAATGGTTGCCTTGTTCTAGAAATCAAATGGAGAAATAAAAAGAAATTTGAGCAATACCACAAACTGGCGTAAATTTTCTTTAAGAAATATGTGTATCTATAAAGTGTTGTTGAGTATTTTTGTGCAACTATTTAGTTTGAATGGTAGTGAGCATGTTTCACAATTCTCAATTACATCAATTACTTTAGTGGTAGGTGGTTTAGAAAAAAAAAGTTTTTGGAAATAGGTACGAGAGGCACACACTGTAGGCCTCACCGTGACATATTCCCAAAGACAACAGGGGATTACTGCAGTCAATTTTCATGTTTAGTAAGCTATAAAAAAACAAAAAAAAAAACAGTCAAATAAATGGTGGAAATGCACCACAAAATGATCTAGGAAACAATGTCAGCCAGTGTGATCATGACCAAATCAATAACAATGTGCTGATTGGTTTATGCAAAAATATGGAGGCTACCACAATACAGCGTCATCGAGAATGATTGCTGAGATTTCAAACTGCCATTACAAAAGATGCATTTAATGGATATACAAAAGTGGCATCTGAAAATGTTCATAAAGGTTTATTAAAATTTTAGACTTACCTTAGCACACTTCAATTTGGGCGCGGCTTGTAGTGCCGGTGATGTCTAGATGGTTTTCAATCTCCTACGACATCTTCTGAATCATGCCTAGAGTTACAAATGCTGCAGCGACCCTTTCTTTGAATGTTGAATTAAGAATGGACATCACAGCACTTGCACACCCCCCCATTAGCGCCCCATTTCCATCTTCAGCAGCAAGTGAGGAGTTCCAATTCAGATAGAACTAGCAACTGTCTGACTGTATACCCATCTCGTTCTTCCCCTTGAGTGTTGGCCAGATCTCCCTGCAGTGTCATTCCCCTCAGGCAGTAATGATATATTTGTGCCTCCGTACTGTTCACTCGCTCCCAAAGGGCCCTCACAACAAATCAATTCACCACCAAGCAGTGCGTGTAATAAATGCAGCCACACTTCTCTTAAATAATTTATAACACTTAAATAAATTCAAATTCAAAGCATTTGCACAAACATATTGCTGATACATTACATCATCAATGTTTTTGTTGATCTCTTTTTGCCTCTTCTGCTCAGTTTTGAGCATGTCCTTCTTGGCACCGACAGCACTCTGAACTTTGACATGCAGCAGTTTTTTGTCTGCCAGTTCTGCCTCCAACTGTGTAGACAAATCCCCAGATTCCTGTTTGAAGACACATTTTAACTCTTTCAGTCAGGGGTAGCAGATATTTGAAACAGCATTATTTTAAGTGGATGGTGCTTCAAATCAAGACTGCTTACTTTTAATTACTGTGCTGGCTGCTAAAGATGGGGACGAATGGCTGCTAAAGATGGGGGATGGACGAATGGCTGCTAAAGATGGGGGATGGACGAATGGCTGCTGAAGATGGGGATGAATGGCTGCTGAAGATGGGGATGGATGGCTGCTGAAGATAGGGATGGATGGCTGCTGAAGATGGGGATGGATGGCTGCTGAAGATGGGGATGGATGGCTGCTGAAGATGGGGATAGATGGCTGCTGAAGATGGGGATAGATGGCTGCTGAAGATGGGAATGGATTGCTGCTGAAGATGGGGATGGATGGCTGCTGAAGATGGGGATGGATGGCTGCTGAAGATGGGGATGGATGGCTGCTGAAGATAGGGATGGATGGCTGCTGAAGATAGGGATGGATGGCAGCTGAACATGGGGATGGACGGCTGCTGAAGATGGGGATGAAAGGCTGCTGAAGATAGGGATGAAAGGCTGCTGAAGATAGGGATGGATGGCTGCTGAAGATGGGGGCGGAACACTCTGAGTGAAGTGATGTTGGTTCTTAACTAGACAATTTAAAATCACAAATGCTTTAGTCAATATGTATTAAAATAATACTTTATGTGACGGAAGAAAGCAGTCAGTGACCATTTTTCTTGTCTCCAGCTTGAAGATCCTGGGTTAAAATCCGCATCAAGGCTTTCTGGACAACCTCGTCTAACAGTCACTAGGAAATATGTTAAGAAGTAAAGATGGTCTGGGTGGTGTTGTCAGCACTACCCATCAAGTATTAACTGATCAATATAAACATTCATAGGTCTAGCTCCATATGCTGACTGCGCTAATGGCATGAAAAGGGTCTTTCACTTTATCGACAGAAAGGTTGAAAGGCAAGTAGGATAAAGTGGGTTTATACAACAATATGTTGGGGACACAAGAAGCAGAGAAAAGCATACAATACAAAGTAAACATTAAGCACACTGTGCTTTGTGCAGTTTATCATGTCAGGTGCCGCTTCCACAATGAAGCCTGGCTGCAATGGCCATGACCACTAAGTTAACCTCATGTGTTGATTCCTCCCTACTCCCACACAAAAAATGATTGCGTAAAGGTCAAAACAAGAATAACAGCTGGGTGTAAATATCTGGTGGCACACAAAGGACGACACGTAGGCGGTCATGGATTAAGATGTGAATCCTGTACATCACTGGCAAATTCAGAAATACAGAAAATAGAACTGGTTAACTTCATAGGAATTCATTCAGGTAAAACAAAACGCTTAATCACAAAGAAAATGTAGTGATGTGAGGAGGCTTATCCCCCCCCCCCCCCATGATGAGATTCTTTCTTCCATGAAAGTTGGCCGCCACGATCAAAATATTGCAAGAACAGCATGTTCAACAGCTGTGAAAAACGTCCGGTCACCATCCCAACTTGACATAGCACAGCCACAATAAGTGTTGCCCCACGTAAAATACAATGTGCCTTGCACTGGAAACATGCACACATTAGAAATCCATGACAAGGGAACAGAACACTACAAGAGAAATCACAGCCAGTGAAAAATAACACAAACGCTCATTGCTGTCTTGAAAACGGAAGTCGGTTGCAATGGATCTCCAACTTTCTGTTTCTTTTTAGCAGTACACTTTCTCAGACTGTTGTCTGTCCATCTCTTGTTGTTCTGCCACTTGTACTGTTCTCTAGACTTTTCCTCCAGTCATCATCATCATAAACCACTTCTGTCGTTAAGCGTCGTGGGGAGGAATTATTTGCGATCCAGTGCACGTTAGCTGCCACTGGCTATTGTCATGCATGAAGGCGTAGAGTGTCTTTAATGTTGTCGATCCATGTTTTCTGTGGCCGTCCTCTCGCTCTTGTAGCTGATTTTCTGAGATGTAGTGCTTGTGATGGTATTTGATCTTGCGGCATTCTAACAAGATGGCCAAACCCCTTAATCTGCTGTTTCTCGATGAATCTAGTACAAGGTGTCGTTCCCACAATTCGCCTGATAGTTTCATTATTCATTATTTCCTCCAGTGTGGCTTTTAAAAGAGCATCCATGTCTTTTAATGTGTTTGTGGTTTGTGTTTAATGTGTTTGTGGTTTGTGTTTAATGTGTTTGTGTTTTGTGTTTAATGTGTTTGTGGTTTGTGGTGTGTGTTTAATGTGTTTGTGTTTTGTGTTTAATGTGTTTGTGATTTGTGTTTAATGTGTTTGTGGTGTGTGTTTAATGTGTTTGTGGTGTGTGTTTAATGTGTTTGTGGTTTGTCTTTAATGTGTTTGTGTTTAATGTGTTTGTGGTTTGTGTTTTATGTGTTTGTGGTGTGTGTTTAATGTGTTCGTGGTGTGTGTTTAATGTTTTCGTGGTTTGTGTTTAATGTGTTTGTGGTTTGTGTTTAATGTGTTTGTGGTTTGTGTTTAATGTGTTTGTGGTTTGTGTTTAATGTGTTTGTGGTTTGTGTTTAATGTGTTTACAAGTGAGGATGCCCAATACTTTCATCTGCTGCTAGTGGCAGAAAAGAATTTATGGGTGTACAGAAGAAACATCTTTATTTTCTTAACAGCCACAAACTGGTCACACTGGCTGGTCATATATTTAGCCCATCCAAACATTTCTCTTTCACACAGCAACTGTATCTTATCTATAAAGCATGTAATGTTCATAGTAATATACATAATATGAACATAAAGAAAAAAAAAAAACACAAAGGTATGGATGGCAAATGCATACAAACACTTATTCAAGAATGGCCAATCCCGTCAATTCTGGCACGATATGTGGACTGAGTGAATGTATAAAAGGGGGACTTGTACAACAAAAAGGAGTTAAGTCAGGAAGAGTTGTGCAGTTTGTTTATCTCATTCTCTCGCCTGCCATACACAATCGACAAATTATATCCTAGTTCTCCCATTACAGCTGAAAGTTACGGAATGCAAAAAAAGTTAAATACCTCAAAAAATTTAAGAACATTAAATGGGATGAATTTAACAAAGGTGAGAAATGTCTGAACGACTACTGGTACCAACAGATTAAAGACAGAAATTAAGATATAGTTGGCATATAATGACTATAACTGGACAGGGAATCACGACACATGCATGTGATCTAGGAAAAAAGTTTGTACATGCGCAGGGCAGGACGGAGCGGAGGGATAGACTGCGAGTCCTATGTGGTAATTAAACATTATGAGGAGAGGTAATGAAAATCCATGTTACTGAGGCTTTCAGGAAAAGCAGATAATAGTAACATTGCACCTACCAAGCATTTCATGAAAGCTACGAAGGGTATGGCTTAGATTAGGCTGGCTACTCCAACCACTTCACACACACACATAAATCTTTAGGTGCAAAAGCCAGTATACCGTGACTAAGCCAACCTGTTATAAAAAAAAAACAACAACCATAAAGTTTACACAAATTACCTCATTCCTCTTCTTTTCTAGTTGTGCTATGGCCACATCTATCTGAGAAATTTTGGTCTTGATCTGAAGCGAAAGAATAAGACAACATAAGTCTCTAAAATAGGAAAAAATAAGACAAACGTTTGATCCACTGTTATTACAAAGGACTAACCAGTTGTTTCTTTCAGATTTCGTCCAGTGATTCTATACCCTAATATTATTGCACAGCCCTATATTGACAGATAGGAGCCGCAATAGCAGAGTGCCTGACAGCCTAAAAGTCATAGGTTGGAATCCATATCAGGGCAGATTTTTTATTAACTTACTGCTTAAAGGTCGATCCAGATTAAAATGAGAACCAGGAAATAAAATGGAAAGTAAAGGCAACTGACATAATGTTAACCTACACGACAAATGTCAATTAAATATACAGTTCCTTCTTATCACAGTCAAAATCTCCATGATGTCTTCCTTCAGCAGAAGGCAACACGTGTGGCTATTTCCTGGACACACACAAAACTATTTGAACTAACATTTTGGACACACCATCAATGTTACAGTGATGTTAACAACTACCTATAATAATAAGAAAACTCCAACAACTGTTTTGGCCAGTTTCAATCCTAAACAATCTCAGAAGGTAGGCCAACCTTGTTCATGAAGCCAGGCCCCAGCAAATCCTCTGCTGCGCTTGATGGAACACGTACTTTTATCCGATGGTATATCAACAGGAACTGGTGAGACTAGGTTCAACTGTCTAGTTAGTCTGCTCCCTGTGTGGGGGCCCCATTTGGAAAAAGGGAGGGGGGGGGGGGTGTTAATTGACCCACTGTCTCCCAACAAGTGAGCAATAAGGGCTGCTTCCTTTCAGGTCGGAGGTTAACTGCAAGAAAGGCAAGTGATGAAGCCTGCATACAACAAAAAAAGCTAGATCTGTAAAACAGATGCACACGTGCAACTCAAGTTTTAGAAAACCAAAGCCCAGAAAGACAAACAACCAAATCTTTCTGCCAAAAGTTGCAGCTGACGAACACTAAGGGGTAATTAGAGGGCCCAGGCAGTGAGGTCAGCCTGAGAGGGCTTTTGAAAAAAAAAAAAAAAAAAAAAAAAAAAAAAAAAAAAAAAAAAAAAACAGGCTTAGGGGTAGGTCAAGAAGCTTTACAAACTGCACTGTAGAATCAATTACCAACTCCTTCAGAGGGTTATTTAAATCATAGATCTCTCGTTTAAAAGAACTTTATGCAGACAGGCAAAGATTTATACTCAAAATAAATAACCTCACCTTCCTGACCCCAAAAATAAAGTTGCTCATTTATTCTGAAAGCCAAATCCTGGAACTCCAAGTTAGTCGACATTTTATCCTCACTGCACATCGAACCATTCAGTCCATAAGTGCTCGGATCCCCTCCTCAGTAAACCCCACAGCGTGTAACCACTCACAACACCAGTTTTGATTTCTTTTTCTTCTTTGGCTTCCTGCATACTTGTCTGGCCACACCCCTCTTAAAATTTTGTTCTTGCAGTTTGGCCGTGGTTGCAGATTCACAATCACCATTTCCAAGTTCTTCCAACAAATCAGAGACACCACAGATGGCATCCTGACGAAAAGAGAACAGACTTCCTCAATGTTTTGTCGTAGAATAACAGACCAATAGTGAAGTAAACACGCCTGACCATTTTCAAGCAATAAATATTGTAGTCTGGAACTGGATTTTTAAGTGTATTTAATGCTTGAAAATTCGCTTCTTTACCATCATCATACACTCTCAGTAATCATGACAACCTGCCGTTCAAAACCATGGGTTTTCCGGTCTGCCAAGGAAACAATCACAAATACAAAGCTGATACACACTGAGCTTGTCATGGGCATGAAAGAAATTACCATACATTGCAGTGTACAAGTCAACCTGAATATTTTTTAGCTCAAAATTGAGTGTTATACCCACCATAAGTCAACTCCTAAAGTTATTAATTTTTCGGATTCAAAATTTGACGTCTAGGAAGTAATTTACATTATTACATTCCATATTTAGGCTTTCAATTCTTTTATGTGATGTGCCTTTCTTCTGCCAAATAAGAGATGAAAACATGCCTCAATTTGCAGACCTCGAAAATAAAATGTCTTCTAAATGAAAGCCCAGCATTATATCTACTCAACCAGCCACTTTCATAACACAAAAAAATCTGTGGAAGTCAAAAGAAATTGCAGCTTATACCAAAAGTAGCCTTTACCGACCTCATCAATCCTGGCATTGGTTTTCACAATCAATTCTTGCATATCCACCAAATCATCCGCAGATTTCTTTTTCCTCTCCTGTTGAAAACCAAACAACAATTGCAAATGAATATTAAAATAAAAAATAAAAATAGAGGCAAATTTTTCCAGGCTGAAACCTAAAAGGTTTATCACAAACTGGCTCAATAAGCTATTTTTTTGGATGTGTATTGTTTTTTTGGGTTTTTTTTTTTTTAAGTATCCAGAAACCATAAGTTGTTAACCCTTTGGCTCCGTTCTATGGATATCGCAACCCTTCGGCCTTGACTCCAAGATAGATAACCGTAAATCTCAGAGAAATGTTGCTTTTCTGCCTACCCCAGGGCATGAGTTCATACCACAAGTCAGGTTTAACAAACTACGCTAGCGAGCCGGGCAGGATGTGTATAAAATAAGCAACACACGCCAAATACTTTTTAAACCAATTAAAAGCGTTTATACTGGGTGCAGTAAGAACATCTAGTGGTCTTTCTGAATGGTTCAAAGTCACAACTGGTGTCAGACAAGGATGTGTACTGTCACCATTACTTTTCATAACATACATGGATAAGATCACTGTAGAAGCAAACCCAGACGTGTATGCTATAAACGAATTACTTTTTGCTGATGATCAAAGCATACTGTATCAAAATGAATATGACCTACAGGAACATCTGACTACTCTCAACAACAGCTGTTTACAACATAATATGAGAATCAGTACAGAAAAAACAGAAGTTATGAAGATCAGCAGAACACACAGGCCACTGAATATAAATGTTGGAAGTGCCAAAATCAAGCAAACCAAAGAGTTCAAATACTTGGGCAGTATATTTACAGAGGATGGAAGAATGGACAGAGAGATAGAAACAAGAATACAGAAAGCAAATGCTGTCACATACCAACTATCACCTCTGCTTAAACATCCAGATATAACCATGAAGACCAAAAGACAATTGATAAACACCATCTTCATTCCAACACTCTGCTACCAGTGCCAGACATGGACAATCAACAAGACCCATGAAAGAAAAAAATAGAAGCCTGTGAAATGAAATGTCTAAGAAAAGCAGCGAATAAGACCAGACTAGACAGGATAAAGAACATAGACATTAGAAACACTGTCAAAACTACACCATGTTTAGACTACATAGAACATCAAAGAATGAAATGGTTTGGACATCTAACCAGGATGAAAAATGACCAAATAACATCATAAATTTTCAACCAAAGAAGCTCAGGATATAAGGCAAGAGGAAGACCAAGGAAACGGTGGATTGACGGGGTCTCCGAAACCTGCCAAAAGCATGGCCTCAGAACATCAGATGCTGCCCGCCTTGCTTATGACAGGAACTTGCATCTCCCCACAACGCTTAGTGGCATACGTGGAAGGAAAAAGTAAAGTAAGTATACTGGGTGATGATACTGTTCTACTAAGTAAAAACAGCCTCCCCATCAACAATGTCTGCATAAATTGGATGTGCCGACGAAAAGGCACAAATATTGCAGCCATGCTGTAAACAATCACAACACATTACATCTTTGGATGACAACAGACGTGAACGCAAAACTCAAGTTCTGAAACGACAAAATTTAAATGGTGGACAAACAACCAGGGCTTTATGCAGAGGTTTACAGCCGATGAACGATAAGAACAACTACTTCTAGGTTTACAGTCGATGAATGATAAGAACAACTACTTCTAGGTTTACAGTCGATGAATGATAAGAACAACTACTTCTAGGTTTACAGCTGATGAACGATAAGAACAACTACTTCTAGGTTTACAGCCGATGAACGATAAGAACAACTACTTCTAGGTTTACAGCCGATGAGCGATAAGAACAACTACTTCTAGGTTTACAGTCGATGAATGATAAGAACAACTAGTTCTTTCGTTTGCTTGAAATAAATTATCTATACCTGCAATGCTATTTCTAGTACGAACTTCAGTCTTTTGTAATTCACTTAGCTGCCCGTAAAGTTTGACTTCCATCAACGCCTCTCTTGGCCAGAAATTTTGCCTGGAAATGTATTTGGGACAGTCTTGGTGGATGTTATCTGCTTTCTCAGGTGCCAATCCACATGTGCAAACGGCTGATTCACCAATCTTATATTTTGTGTACATCTGGCTGCAAAGTCACTGTAGAATAATGACTTGCTCTGGTCTGTCCATAAAATGGTAATCGTCTTGTGCCAGTTTTGGTGGCTTTCTGACTGATTTGATTATTCTCTTCTTCTGTTGATTAAACAACAACTGTTAGCCTGTCTCTGCCAACCTTTCTCAGTCACCTTTCATGATATGCATAGTAGGAAACAATGTTAACAGGCTTTGTTTTCTTGTGGTCCCTGATAATACACAGGCATTACAACCATAAGCTCTATTAAATCTGTAACATTACAACCATAAGCTCTATTAAATCTGTAACATTACAACCATAAGCTCTATTAAATCTGTAACATTACAACCATAAGCTTTATTAAATCTGTAATGCATTACAACCATAAGCTCTATTAAATCTGTAATGCATTACAACCATAAGCTCTATTAAATCTGTAACATTACAACCATAAGCTCTATTAAATCTGTAACATTACAACCATAAGCTCTATTAAATCTGTAACATTACAACCATAAGCTCTATTAAATCTGTAACATTACAACCATAAGCTTTATTAAATCTGTAACATTACAACCATAAGCTCTATTAAATCTGTAACATTACAACCATAAGCTCTATTAAATCTGTAACATTACAACCATAAGCTCTATTAAATCTGTAACATTACAACCATAAGCTCTATTAAATCTGTAACATTACAACCATAAGCTCTATTAAATCTGTAACATTACAACCATAAGCTCTATTAAATCTGTAACATTACAACCATAAGCTCTATTAAATCTGTAACATTACAACCATAAGCTCTATTAAATCTGTAACCTTACAACCATAAGCTCTATTAAATCTGTAATGCATTACAACCATAAGCTCTATTAAATCTGTAACATTACAACCATAAGCTCTATTAAATCTGTAACATTACAACCATAAGCTCTATTAAATCTGTAACATTACAACCATAAGCTCTATTAAATCTGTAACGCATTACAACCATAAGCTCTATTAAATCTGTAATGCATTACAACCATAAGCTCTATTAAATCTGTAACATTACAACCATAAGCTCTATTAAATCTGTAACATTACAACCATAAGCTCTATTAAATCTGTAACATTACAACCATAAGCTCTATTAAATCTGTAACATTACAACCATAAGCTCTATTAAATCTGTAACATTACAACCATAAGCTCTATTAAATCTGTAACATTACAACCATAAGCTCTATTAAATCTGTAACATTACAACCATAAGCTCTATTAAATCTGTAACATTACAACCATAAGCTCTATTAAATCTGTAACATTACAACCATAAGCTCTATTAAATCTGTAACGCATTACAACCATAAGCTCTATTAAATCTGTAAGGCATTACAACCATAAGCTCTATTAAATCTGTAACATTACAACCATAAGCTCTATTAAATCTGTAACATTACAACCATAAGCTCTATTAAATCTGTAACATTACAACCATAAGCTCTATTAAATCTGTAACACATTACAACCATAAGCTCTATTAAATCTGTAACATTACAACCATAAGCTCTATTAAATCTGTAACATTACAACCATAAGCTCTATTAAATCTGTAACATTACAACCATAAGCTCTATTAAATCTGTAACATTACAACCATAAGCTCTATTAAATCTGTAACATTACAACCATAAGCTCTATTAAATCTGTAACATTACAACCATAAGCTCTATTAAATCTGTAACCTTACAACCATAAGCTCTATTAAATCTGTAACATTACAACCATAAGCTCTATTAAATCTGTAACATTACAACCATAAGCTCTATTAAATCTGTAACATTACAACCATAAGCTCTATTAAATCTGTAACATTACAACCATAAGCTCTATTAAATCTGTAACATTACAACCATAAGCTCTATTAAATCTGTAACATTACAACCATAAGCTCTATTAAATCTGTAACGCATTACAACCATAAGCTCTATTAAATCTGTAACATTACAACCATAAGCTCTATTAAATCTGTAACATTACAACCATAAGCTCTATTAAATCTGTAACATTACAACCATAAGCTCTATTAAATCTGTAACGCATTACAACCATAAGCTCTATTAAATCTGTAACATTACAACCATAAGCTCTATTAAATCTGTAACATTACAACCATAAGCTCTATTAAATCTGTAACATTACAACCATAAGCTCTATTAAATCTGTAACATTACAACCATAAGCTCTATTAAATCTGTAACATTACAACCATAAGCTCTATTAAATCTGTAACACTACAACCATAAGCTCTATTAAATCTGTAACATTACAACCATAAGCTCTATTAAATCTGTAACATTACAACCATAAGCTCTATTAAATCTGTAACATTACAACCATAAGCTCTATTAAATCTGTAACATTACAACCATAAGCTCTATTAAATCTGTAACATTACAACCATAAGCTCTATTAAATCTGTAACATTACAACCATAAGCTCTATTAAATCTGTAACATTACAACCATAAGCTCTATTAAATCTGTAACATTACAACCATAAGCTCTATTAAATCTGTAACATTACAACCATAAGCTCTATTAAATCTGTAACATTACAACCATAAGCTCTATTAAATCTGTAACATTACAACCATAAGCTCTATTAAATCTGTAACATTACAACCATAAGCTCTATTAAATCTGTAATGCATTACAACCATAAGCTCTATTAAATTTGCAACTCACTTCAGCTTTAACAAACTGGTATGCGATATACAGCTTGTTTAGATGTTCCAGTTCCCGAATAATCTTCTGATATTCTAGATACGAGGAACGTTCTTCTCTAAGCTTAGTCAGAGTGGGCGTGATGTCCTCATTCAAAACCTGTAAAGAAAATTTTTTTAACAAATTAACTCTTAGGACCCGTGAGAGAAGAGAAAAACGGGAGAAGTGAGTCTCGTGTGTCTCATGGTAAACGAAGTGAGAGACACAAGAAAAGCATGAGACGTGAACGGAAGACGTGAACCGAGAGACTGAAGTAAGACAGTTGAAGTTCTGCCCTGACTGAGAGAGGACGCGTGAATGAACGCCTGAGAAGAATAAATGATTTGTCAAGTGAACGTTATATTTCAATAGGAGGACTGAATGTTTTTTCCATACGTCGTAATGTCAGATATCAGAGTCCATGAAGTATAGATGGATGGTTCGAGAGACGCTGATAAATTCCTGTAGTGTGTGGGAAGTCCGACCAGGTCGCTAGATTCAGCCAAGCAAGTCGAGCACGAGGAAGCATGAATGTATGTTTGCGATAACTGGCGATTCAACGAATAAAAGCAAAGAACTCAATATTCGTTCATGCTGTGTCGTTTCAACTCACTGTTCGTCTGAAAGCAATGTAAACAATACATGCCCCTAGATGAGCACATTACAAGTGGAGGCTCTAAAACGGACACATCCGGGACAAAAAACAACGACAGAAGATAACCGGAACATCACTGAAAACACAGCGGATTGGACCAATTGAACTCGACAGCTAATAACGGAGCTGAACAGTCAATGTAAGTGGCGTTCTGTGTCAAGGTCGATTTCCAGTAATCGTCTGAGGTAACAGCAGTTGTTAGTCAAAATTTATTTGTTCAGAACAAGCAACGACAAACATGGTCAGTGTAGTGACCAAAAACCCGGCCAGTTGGACCAGTTAAACTTCAAAGCTCAAAGCGGGGCTGCAGAGTTGACGTAAGTGGGGGACTGGGTCAAGGCCGCTATACAGCCATCATCCGTGGTAACACCAGTTGCTGTGTCGAAATTTACCTCAAGAAAATGTGTAGAAATTTCAAGTACATTTTTCCTGTGTAAGGATGGCCAAATTCGCCACTGGGTAACGTGTCGAAATTAGTTATCGTTACAGTATCATCATAACAACTATACCACGTATCGTTACAGTATCATCATAACAACTATACCACGTATCGTTACAGTGGCATCATAACAACTATGCCGCGTATTATTACAGTGTGATCGTAACAGCTATACTACACATTGTTACAGTGTGATCGTAACAATTATACTGCGTATTGTTACAGTGTGATCGTAACAACTATACTGTGTATTACAACATCAAATTAGTCATCAATCAGTCCAGTGTTTGAAACAGTAGTTGCAAAGGGCAACAGCCACCAAGTACAGTGATCACTAAACATGCTAACATAACGTAAGTGTGTTAAGACAAGGCATCTAGCTGAGTGACATTGGTCAAGCGGACAGCCGACTTATATCCACATATCCGATCTAACATGCAGCTAGCGGAACACCGCTAAACGAACATCCGTAGCACAGGTAGAACAAGTACACGTGCAGAACAGTTTTCTGTGAGTTCCTTCAAGTCTTTAGAACAGACAGTCAGTTTCCATGAATTATTCAGATTGACACCCATGTTCAACTTATAGACGAGTGCCGCTATTTTTCAAAAAAGTACACTACTTCCATGATGAACCACAATATGAATTCAGACGGGTAATGGCCAATTAATGAAGTGACATTACCAACCGGAAGATTCAATTGCACGACACGATCTACAAGAGACTCGTTCAATATATTTCCGTTACAGCCGAGAAGTGTGCTATAGCGAAAAGAAGGATCCGTAGAATAGACTGTGTCTTAGCTCGATAGGAGCCATAGTAATTTTTTTTTTTTTTTTAAAGTTGAGTAATTAAGTTCATAGTTTGATATTATTGTTCTGAGTAGGTAGAAAACTACTCAGCTAAACATAGTGATTATATATCACATATTGATTTTGTTGGTTGTGATTGTATTGCTATTAAGCGTAATATTTGTGAACGCATTTGTAATTGTTATATTTGTACAGGAATATCGTATACATCTACAAGTCAAAAATGGCGGAATGGGTAGCCATTGGTAAAGAATTGGGCCTTCAGGGCGACGAGTTAAGAAAGTATGTGGATGAAAAACATAAAGAGAAGGTAGAAGAGGAAAGGAGAAGAGCAGCAGAAGAAAAAGAAAAGAGCAGCAGAAGAAAAAGAAGAAGAAAGCAGCAGAAGAAAAAAAGAACAAAAAAGAAGAGCAGCAAGAAGAAAAAGAAGAACAAGAAGAAAAGCAGAAAAAAGAAGAACGAGAAGAAGAGCAGACTTGAAGCAGAAGAAGAACGAAAAAAAGAGAAAGCAGAAGAAAAAGAAGAACAATAAGAAAAGAGCAGCTGAAGAAAAAACAGAAGAACTACTGCGTGAACAAAAGAAATTGAAAAGAGAAAGAACTACTACAACAAAAAGAGATTGAAGAGAAAAAATTACAGCTGGAAAAACAGAGGTTAGAGGCACAAATACAAGCGGACAAAGAAAAAGCAGAAACTCAGATCAGAACAAAGGAAATGGAAAATGAGTCAAAAAGAGAAGCAGCCATAGAAAAAGAGAGAATCAAAGCAGAAGAAAACAAATTCAAAAAATATGCAGGAATAGTCCGAAATTACTGCAAGGAAGACGACATCGGAGCGTATATAGCCAATTTCGAACTAGGTATGCACATGCATAACGTCCCATTGCAAGACTACGCTTTAATCTTTCAAAAACACCTGGCATTTGAACCTTTAAAGATTCTGGAAACAATTCCGGAAACCAAAAGACTAGATTACAACTATATCAAAGAAAGGTTAATGAAGCATTACAACCTGCACGAAGCTGGCTACCGAAAACAGTTCAACGATTTGAGACCAAAAAGTAGTCAAACATTTGCAGACTATCTGTCAGAAGTGCAGAACATATTCCAAAAATGGGTTGAAGCAGCCAATGTAAAAAATGACTATAAGTTATTGGTTGATTTGTTGTTAAGATGTAAAATGTTAGAATCTCTTCCACAGCCAATGGCAACTTTCCTAAAGGAAAATAAGCCAACAAATTTAGATTCTTTAGAAGAAGTAGGTGAAAATTATTTTGCAGCACACCCTGATATCTTCGTGCTATCAAGTTCTGATTTGATAGAAGTGGGAGCAGCAGCCTATGCAAAACCATACCAACAGAAATTTCAGAACAAAAACTTTAGATATGGCAAGAAAGAGGTAAAGACCATCAATTGCAACCACTGTCACGATAGACATGGTGACGACGCACCTTGTGATAAAAGCCCACTATTTAATGAAAGAATCGAACAGGTGATTGCTCATAGAAAAAACAAGTTAAAGAGGTATGAAAATGCAGTAAAATGTTATATTTGTGGATGTTATTTGCACACCAGACGTAACTGTCCTGCTATAAAACGATTCAAGGAGGCACATGTAGTATGTGTAACATCAGATGATGAGTCAGAAAGCGATTCAGCTGAAGCCAATTCAGCTACCATGTACGAAACAGAAGAAGAATGTAAAATATGTTCTAAATTCCATAAGGAAGGCAACCTACCGTGTGGACACCTGATACCCATTCAGAACGCTAATCTGGCAACACACGGCCACGGTACTCTGAAATTTCAAAAAGGTCAGATCCATGGGCAAACCATATCACTCCTTAGGGACACTGGTGCATCTATTTCCGGAGTGCATCAAAGACTGATTAGACCAGAAGATTTAACAGACAAATACATCAATTGTCGTACCTTTGGTGGTAGCATCGAAAGATATCGACTTGCTAACGTGTTTGTTAAAAAACACCATACTTAGAAAAGTTCATAACTGTTGCAGTATTACCATCCCCTTGTGCTGATTTGATTTTGGGAAACAGGGAAGATTTAAGAACAGTAACCGACAGGGACATTGTAGCTTGGGAACAAAAAAATATTCCAAAGTATTGTCAGAATGAAAGTACGGAAGACAACTCCCCATATCCCAAAGAATGCTGTAATGTGAGTGAGAGTAAGGTTACGAAAGACAACCCTCCAAATCCCAGTGAGAGTGTCAACCCAAGTGAGAGCGAAGATACAAAAGTTAACACTCCATATCCCAAAGAAGAATGTGTCAGAGAAAGCTTGGAGAGTGAAAGGAAAAATGAAAATACAAACAGAAGAAAAAGGCCAAAGAATGGATCAGAAAGTATGGAAGAAAGAAGCAAGAAGAGTAGCAGTCGTAACAAAGCCCAACACAGAAAGAAGAAAAGTGTGAATGAATGAAAGCGAAGTGTGCAAGAATAAACAGCATACAAAGACAGAAACTAAGCTTAGCAGAAAAAAGTGTGTGGTTACAAAAATAACGGTAACTGAAAACACTCAAAACACAGAAACAAAACACAGTGTAGACAGGTATCAAATGAAACATCCTATTCTCTGTGATTGTTGTAAAAAATATTGCAAATCGCTGGGTCCTGAAACTAGAAAGCGATACGATATGTTAACAAAAAAGTATCATGACATATCACAAAAGAAACACCATGTACAGAAAACAGCAGAATGGTACATCACATTACACACATGGTTGGATGTGGATACTACACTTCATTTTAATTATATTGCAGATTATTTTGACAACATTTCAGACAAAGAACTTAGAGTTATTCTGTACTATCTATGCTATTCAAATAGTGCAACTTTTAGTGACTAATTATCCTAGTCGGAAAAACTTCAATTCACAAGTCTTGGTGATTATCAAAAGCTGTCAATTTCTCAAAAGTGTTACACTACTTGCATTGCTACTACTAAAACTATTGCTTCTACACATGGTTTATTCTAAACACTTTCCTCATTCTGTGATTACACATACAACTTGTCGGTAACAGCAGTCACATACAGCAAGCAGATTATTTTAATATATTGTGATATTAGGTTAACCAGTCCACTTTAATTAAACAGTTTTAATTGTGTCTATATACATTAGCACGGAATTAATTATCATGTATCTGGTATAACAATATTTAGAAACCACCCATTATAGTGTTTCATAATGATGTATTAGTAACATGGAAGTACAAAAAGGCAGATGCCCACGCAACATACGCAGCGAATGTTTGCAAATAGGAGTTCCAAACTGATGGCCTTCGAACCCGGTCAAAAGTGGGTTTCTACCAAAAGATTCAGTTGAATTATATATCGAATGGCGTGGCCCTTACACTGTAGTAAGAAAAGTATCAAATGTTGATTATGAAATTGATTATAAAGGGAAATTGAAAATTTTTCATGTTAACATGATGAAAAGGTATTTTACAAGAAATGTAAGGTATTAACAGGTATTAATAATGTAACAGCATACATGGATGATATTTGCATACACACAAAAACTTTGCCGGAACACATAGACACCTTGAAAGAAGTGTTCAGCAACATTCAAAAGGCAAATCTGACTGTTAATCCAGCGAAATCAGAGTTTTGTTTCACACAAATCCAGTTTTTAGGACATACAGTGTTCCAGGGTAGTATTCAGACTGACGAGACAATTGTTTCTAAAATTTTAAAAATTGAAAGACCAAAGACCAAGAAACAACTACAGGCACTATTAGGACTTGTAAATTATTACGGCAAATTCATCCCTAAGTTAGCAGAACTAACAGCCCCTCTATCGGAACTTTTGAAAAAAGACCAGTTTAGAAAAAAGGATTGGACAGAAACTCATGACAAAATCATACAAAAAATCAAGTCTTCATTTGCTACTCCACCAATACTAAGACAACCGGACCCATCTAAAACTTTCTACCTACAAACTGACGCTAGTGGTCATACCATAGCCGCGATGTTGGCTCAAAGGCATTCCGGTACTCTTCTTCCGGTTCTATATCTTTCACAGAAACTTAATTCCACCCAACAGAAATACAGTACTTTTGAAAAAGAGGCTCTCGCTCTTGTTATCAGCCTTAAAAAATTCCAAAAATTCTTGATAGGAAAGGAATTCATTATTCTGACTGATAACTTAGGCCTGACAAAATTGTTAACAATGGATGCAACAAATAACGCAAGAGTATACAGATGGGCGTTATTATTATCCCAATTTCAGTTCAAGATAGAACACATTAAGGGCATTGAAAACCATCTACCCGACGTGATGTCCAGATTATAAACATAGATTCAATTTTGTATTGTATGTATTACCTGGGGAAATCCTGAATTACAGGAAAGAATATGGTTGAATGAATGAAATATGTAAACATAGCTTAACTGATGATTTTTATGTATGTTACATTTGTAAGTAAGCAACAATATACGTGTGACAATGGTAACTATAAAGAGGAGAATGATGACGATGAGATGAATATGATGACAATAATGCTGATAACGACAACAACAATGATGATGATGATGATGATGATGATGATGATGATGATGATAACGATGATGATGATGACAATAATGATGATGATTATGACAATGAAGATGTTACAACATGTTGAAATAAGGTTTAATAATGATTGCATATGTTGTTTAGATAAATTTATTGGTGAAAATATAGGTTGTATAACATGTAATAGGGTAATTACTATGATATAGAAAGGGAATAATAATACTTTTTCGGAAAAGTAATGGGTAATTTACACCACATAATCCAAGGGATTGAGTTCGAAATCCTAAATAGGGAAACATATGTTTCTAATTGAAACGTAAACCAGTGACAGTAGCCATGAGTCCAACGGTGAGGGTGGGACTTTGCGGGTTTTCTACATTTCTGTTCCATAGCCGATATGGACTTCAGTACTTGAAAGAGAGTACCAGAATTGTTGTTCTGTTTTATACAGACTGTGGGATGGCATGGGGTTAATACGCAGAGCCTATATGGACTACCGCACTTGGAAGAGAGTGCCTGAATGGTTGTTTCCCATTAAGCCACTTGGTACTTATTGGTACTTATAACTGGTAATGTGACAAAGGGAAATAATGTAAAACCTATCAAAAGGGAAGTAACCATTAAAACCCAAAATGATTATTAGGTAATCCACATCATTACATTAAAGTATTCCCAAACCTTTAAAATTATAACCTAAAGATAAAGTAATAGAAAAAAAAATTTTAAGGTTAAAATTTTTTTTTTTTTACTAGAAGGGAGGGGGAGATTGTAATGTTGTGAATTCCGGGGAAACCCCAGAGAGTTCCCGATGGGGAGAAAAAGGTCGGAGGACCCGTGAGAGAGAGAGAAAAACGGGAGAAGTGAGTCTCGTGTGTCTCATGGTAAACGAAGTGAGAGACACAAGAAAAGCATGAGACGTGAACGGAAGACGTGAACCGAGAGACTGAAGTAAGACAGTTGAAGTTCTGCCCTGACTGAGAGAGGACGCGTGAATGAACGCCTGAGAAGAATAAATGATTTGTCAAGTGAACGTTATATTTCAATAGGAGGACTGAATGTTTTTCCATACGTCGTAATGTCAGATATCAGAGTCCATGAAGTATAGATGGATGGTTCGAGAGACGCTGATAAATTCCTGTAGTGTGTGGGAAGTCCGACCAGGTCGCTAGATTCAGCCAAGCAAGTCGAGCACGAGGAAGCATGAATGTATGTTTGCGATAACTGGCGATTCAACGAATAAAAGCAAAGAACTCAATATTCGTTCATGCTGTGTCGTTTCAACTCACTGTTCGTCTTCGCTCAGCTTCACTGGTGAAAATTCACTGTCCAAATCACTTTCCGAAAATTCTAAATTTTTATTATCATTATCAATTAAAAACATCTAACTGAAACTCAGAGCTTCGGCCGCAGAAAGACACATTCTGCTACCTGTTCTTGTGGTTAGAACATTGGTATTCGGTGCACTCAAAAACGAACTTAGAAAATAAACTGTTAAAAAAAATTTGATGTTTTTTCTCTCGCTCACACCGTTGTTTGGGCCTTAAAGAGTTAAAAATAAAACAGCCCGTGACAATCTCTATGTTCAACATTTTAGCCTGCGAGCAAACATAGTTGAATAGCCCTGAAGCAGTGGGTGCACATTAAAAGGATGATTAGAAGGATGAAAGAAGAATGAAAGATCATTTTGTGTTTGGCGTTTGAATGAGTGAACCTGACGAGAGAGTCTACTCAAGTAGCCTGTAGTGGCTATGACTTACTGGCCATTTATAAATGTTGAGATGGATGTCAGTGATATAAATGCCAACTGTTTCTGTTGAATAACGTGAATCCGAGCTGTCTAGCAACTGTTTTCGAACTTGGTATGCCTGCATAATATTTTATCACGAGCAGGGGTACAATATATTGATACATTTCAGCTGAGTGGTTTCTTGTCATGACCCTAGACAACAGCGGATTGGAACAGTGATTAAAACGAATTGTAAATCAAGCTTTGTGTTTAGGACACTGTTGCTTAATCCTGGGACAACTACAGTCACAGCCCTCTGCAAATTAATGCTACTTTACATGAGGAAGTCATTTTAATAATAATAATAAAAACGACTTACCGAGTCAATTTCCCTCAGTTTTGCATCTTTCTTCTCTATAGTCTTCTGAGCTGCCTCTTTCTTCGTTTCATACAATCTTGTCCCAGCTGCTTCTTCAATCATTGAAAGAATCTAAAAAAAACACACCCATCCCATATTAATTACAGTTAACATGAATCTATCTATCTATTGTCTTCTTCACTTTTACCGGGTTGCAGCCCAGTGTCGTGGTTTAAAATATTTGTTTTGTGCCTCTCGCGTGATTTGAGTGACAGTTTTCTGGATCTTCTGGCCGTATTCAGCTACTCCATCTATCCATTTTTTCCTGGGTCTTCCTCTGGCATTTCTTCCCGATGTTCTATTGTAAAAGGCCTTATAGGCAATCTGATCCGGCTGCATTCTTACTAAATGACCAAACCACTTCATTCTCTGTTTTTCAATATGTTCCATGCATGCTCTTGTTCCAACTTTGTCTCTAATGCCGATGTTTGTGACTCTGTCTCTTCGTGTATTGTTGGTGACTCTTCGGAGACATCGCATTTCACAAGTAGTTATTTTTTGCATATGTGATTTGTTCATTGTCCACGTTTGGCACTGATAACATAACTTAGGGATGAAAATGCTGTTGATCATCCGTTGTTTGGCTGGTAACGAGATCTTTGGATGACGAAGAAGTGGGGCCAGTTGGTAGTTGAAAGCATTGGCTTTTTGAACTCTAGCCTGTATCTCTTTATCGAGTCTTCCATCTTCTGTAAATATGCATCCTAAGTACTTGAATTCTTGAACTTGTTCTAATTGTATGTCATTGATCTTTATGTTTACATTACTGTGTTTCTTTCCTATGGTCATTACTTCAGTTTTTGAGGTGTTTATTTTCATGTCAAATTTTGTACAGTTAGTGAGCAATGAATCAACATGTTGTAGTTTTTGTTCTTCTTCTTGTAACAAACATTGGTCATCTGCAAAGAGAAGTTCATTTATAATATCTGTGTTTTGGTTTGACTCCTGTGCAATTTTATCCACATATGTGATGAAGAGTATGGGTGATAGGACACATCCTTGTCGTACTCCTGATGTGATGGGGAACCAGTCTGTCATACCTTCCGTTGTTCTTACAGCGCTCTGGCTATTTTTATAGAGAGCCATTATGTTTCCCAATAATTGACCCGGTACACCATATTCTTCAAGAATGTTCCATAGTTTATTTAACATGAATGTGAACTTAAAATATTAAAAAAAACTGTTAAAAAAATAATAATTCCAGCATAAAATGTTTAAACCATACCCAATGCCATCTGGCTCAAAGAGCCATTATTTGGATGTGTATCCTCTTCTTCTTTTATCTACTTCTGGAATGCCTCGCGGCGTCAGCGCAAGAAGAGATCTCTGGAACAGGCACTTCTGTTCTGTTCGCTAATGTGAATCCAACAGCAGCAAATCTCAAAAACCCAGTTTAAGCATACATACGCACACACATATAAAATGGTAGCATTAAAAAAAATTATACATGCAAGTGCATCATGGACAGTTGGTAGATAAGGAAAAAATTATTTGAAAGCTGCAGAGATGTGGTTTTATAGACGAATGATGAGAATAACCTAGACAGATATAAAGATTAATGACGATGCCTGGGTAAAAAAAAGTGACCCAAGAAGAGAACTGACTGCCCACATCAAAAAGAATACATTATTTTGTCATGTGATGAGAAGAAGAAACCTGGAGTACATCGTGACAGTAGGAAATCTGGAGGGAAGGAGGGGCAGAGAGAGACCGATTGAACAGATGCTGGACAGTTTGACATCATGGCATGGCGGTTCATCTGTGTCAGAGCTGACTGAAAGTACAGAAACAGAAGGCGGTGGATAGACATGACTACCAAAGCCACATGGCATGGACTTTAAGAAGAAGAAGCATAATATTTCTTATTGAGCCCATTATTCCTCAAAGGAGGATTGGTTCTAAACAAACTTATACCACGTTGTCCTTTCTTTTGCTATCCCATGCAGCTTACTCCATATCCTTTTCTTTTTAACTTCATTCTCTTGTTCCCTTTTTAGTGTTTTGTGTGTGTGTGCTTTTATTATGAGGATATTTTAACACTGTTAAAAAAAGAAATACACAAACAGGATGGCAAACATTCAAACAAGGATAATTTAACATATTTAAAAAAAAAGGTACTAACCTCTGGGGGCTTCATGTTGAGTACTTTTGTAATCCGCCCTTGCATGATGAGAAAATGAGGGTTATTGACATTAAGTTGAACAGAGCGAAACAGGTCCTGTACTCGCATGTTATTGGCATTACTTCCATTAATAAGATACTTGTTACGACCACCTATGACAACCTTGAAGAAAAAAGTGTTTATAAACATTAATAAATTAAACTAAAATATTAGGAGAAAAAAGTCAAAGAAAACAGATGAAAATAATCAACAAAACTCATAAGGTCAATACATAAAAGCAATAGCGCCTTAAAAAAAATCAATCTTTTCAGTGCGTACATTAAAGGATTTATGGTGACAAAATTGGGGCTGCGTGGTCTCGAGGCATGGTGTCCGCCTCGAGTGCTAGAGGCTCCGCGTTCAATCCGCAGTAAGGGCTGGAATTTTTTCAAGTGGACTTGGACCTCTGGTAATTCTCCCTGGTCTCTGGGTAGTGAGATCGGACGTAAAAAAATTCCATGGCAGTTGGAAAATCGAAAAGAGTAGCCTAACTGCGCTGCCTGGGCAAAATTTAGAGTTAAATTCTACCCAAAGTATTTCAGGATCCTTGCATGTGCTATAGAGCTTGTGCTAAACTTCTTCGGACTCAGACTTGAGTTAAAAGAAAGGAGCACTTATGGGTTATTTCCTGTGTGCCCTGATGCTGATCCATTGTTCAAACCTTCAAACTAGGTGACAAAATGTCATACATTTTTAAGTTCAGTTTTTCATTTAAACATTACTGAAAAATGAACCATTATTAATTTTTTGTAAATTATTCATATATTTCTTCTTTGTTTTTAGTTTGTCCTGGGAACGGAGTTAGTCACACCTAGTTATGCACCTCAAAGGTCACTGTGTCTAATTTAGCAGGCATTTAGTTTTAGCTTAGTAGAGGTTTCAGCTTCATTGCAATCAGGTCACCACATACTTGCTCTGCTCCTGTGCTAGTGAAAATCAATGAAATGTCCCTCACTGTGCTGTTTGAAAAATGGCGAACAAACAATTAGTCTAGGCACAATCCAGAAATATGCACATGCAGAAAATGCACAAGACAGTTGCTAGAGGTGCCAAAGCCAACAGCTGCCACGAGAAATGCAGTCTGTCGATGGAAGTAGTCGGTCACAATAAGTTAACTATACACAGGTAAAATTATTACATAAGGTATTTTGCCAGTCCACACCTACTAACTGGCCACCGCCCATACTGACTCAGCCACTGCACAAATAAAAGGCATTACATGTGAATAACACAGCTCACACTACTGCACCCAACACTTAACTCAGTAGTTAGGGTGCGAAACAATAGATTTCCGTCCATACGTGAAACTACATTAGCAAAGTGCTGTTAGAAGCAAAAATAACCTCGAAGCTAAATATTCTGCCATGCCTAGTCCTCTATATTGATTTGTGAAAGATTTGAGTTTAAAAAACAACAATTAATATTTTGCACTGGTCATATGATTGAAGACATATTTATATAACGAGTCGGGACTCAATGAGTGATGTGGTTGAAATCATTCTAACCTACTTTACTTCCTCAAACACTTCCTGGTAACCATTTTAGGCCAACTTAACCTGGAAGCTAAGATCATTTAGTATAAATCTGCCTCAGTCTGGATCAGAGCTTAAGACCTTCAGTCAGGTAAGCATCTAACTACTGCGCTACTATAACTCCCTATATGCAAGGCTTCTCTAAAAATATACCATCTAAGAAAGTGGTTACTTCAACTAGCAAGTAAGTTGACTGTTCTAATGTATCTGCCAAGGTGACGACCTTCTCTTAGTCTTCTTCTTCATCTACAAACCGGGCAATGGGCCTCCTGTTTTCCTACTTTATTTGCAAAGACTGGGTATCCTTTCTAACTATCGAAGAGATCGGCAAAACATTAAAGATGAGTTTATTATCTTGCGGAAATTCTCAGCCCTACGCTGGAATCTGAACCTGGATTTTTCCGAGCCTGGGGTGGACAATAACCTCTCAACCACATCTTCCTTATTTTTTCAAATTTAGCTCTCCCATATCACCCTTCGGTATAATAAGAAAGGAGTGTCAAATGACATAGGATATCATGGGCAGAAAAAACAAGGATAGAACCACTGCCTACCCAAAAGCATGCCGTAAGAGTCGACTAATTGGGAGCTTCCTTTGAAGTCTGAGTGTATCTGCCTGAGAGACAAGGAACCAACAGTCTGCATACAAATGAGTCAGATCTATAAAACGGATGCACAGCAACACTCAGGTTCTGGAACAGGACTGCAGTCCAGAAGTGGATGAACAAACAAAACTTTCCACAAGAGTTTACAGCTGGTGAACACGAAGAAGAAAAAAAATGGACAGAAAAGCAGCAGACACTGCACCAGTGATGATCACTTATGAATGCCTTATTTGTCAACAATGACTTGAAGAATATATACAAGTAATTAAAGTAAAGGACCCTTTTCCCCGCCTTTCAGATGTATTGGGTATATATGGCTAGACCTATATTTTATAAAGCAAATGGCACTTGGTGGGTGTTGTGGTCAGCATCACGCCGGCCGTCTTTACTTCCCAGGACTGCACTTGGTACCCACTGAAGGCTGGGTTAACCTGTGAGAAAAGGTCATTTTATAAAAAAAAAGGTCTGGCCTCTAACAGGAACCGAACCCACGACCTTCCGATTCACAGGTGAGTGTCTAGCTGCTAGACCACGGCGGCTCCTGAAGAATATATATTTATACACACACACATATATATAAATGATAACAATACAATGCAGTAAATTTACTGAGAAACAGAAGATTAAATGGTTTGGTTGTCTAGTAAGAATGCAGCTAGATCACCAACACTGGTGTTACATATGAAAAGATCTAAAGTGAAAACAAGAGGCCACTCTAGGAGAATATAAATGGATGACATTAAACAGCTTCTACATCAACATGGAATTAGTTAGTTGGGTTATCATCATTGCACTCCGGAAATGTCCATAGGTGTTCAGTACCTCCCCTCAGTATGAACCCCAACATCTGATGGCTAATAGTGCCAGTTCTATGTTGATTAAAAAGTCTTCTGATGTGCGTCTCGTTTTTTGCTATGCCGATCTTAATTCCCAAGTCTGCCCTTCTGGCGAGTGCTGTGGATTCACTGCCCCCAAAGTATCGACATGGAATGACAATATCTAATACTGCCCATTAAGCAAAGGATTGCAAACTGTTCCTCCCACTAACACTTAACAGCAGAGGTGGAAACTAATGCTGATGATAAAATATGATCCTTCAATACCAAAAGTCTGAGAACCTCTTTTCTACAGAGAACATAAACATTTACTCTGTCAGATAAAACACAGGACAGACAAATTTACCTGTCTAGTGACAGTAATCTCATCATAATGCTCGTATCCCAGTGGTGTTTGCCCTTTGTCTGTGTTATCAAAGATGATGCTGACAGTGGCTTTAGTGACACCAGCTTGACCACTTTTGTACACCAAGTCCTGAAGACTTCCCGCTCGCACCTAATTGCACAAAGGAAAAAAGTTGAACAATTTGTATTTATGTACAAAACAATAAACAATGCAGAGGCACAGTTTTCACTGGAAGAAAAACTGCATGAAATATATGAGGGGAAGTCAACAAGTCACAAATGGTTGTTTGATCAGTTTTTCCAAACCTGCTGTACAGAACAGCGTGCTCTATTTTTAAACCACATTTGCAGTTCACATTCAATTTCTGCATTATTCGCAAAATGACTCCCGCCAAGCTGGGTTTTCAGTGAACCAAAAATGTGGAAATCGCTGAGGCTAAGTCGGGGCTGTGAGGTGGATATTCCAACCCTAATTTTCGTGTTAACTAAGCCGTATGTGGTCTGGTATAGTCATGAAGAAGCCGTGCTCTTTTAGTCAGCAGGCTTGGAAGAATTGCATGATTCGTTTGTTGCAGGAAGATTGCATATTTATTATAGGACTGAGCCCGGTAAGGATATTTGTTCGGCCGCCATAATGCAGGGGTAGAAGTTCGGAGCAGAGCCTAAATTTCAATCATTCATTCTTTTGTGGGTTCTGGGGCGCCATCGTGGGATAAAAGAGAAAAGACCCACTCTCTCTCTCTCTCTCTGTAACAAGCTGGTCGCAAGAGTTTAGTGTTCAGTCAGAAACAAAACAGTTATTTGCATAAAATGGAGAACAATAACATAACATTTAGTCATTTAATTTTTCATTCAACTTTAACTATATTTCAACCTTATATTTTACTGGGACGCAGATCGCATCATCCATCTTTTGTAAGCTTTCACTATAATTTGTACATCATATGACAACAATAAAAATATATAAATTTATTTCATATACTAAGATTTTAATTATAGGACTTAAATAATTAATAATACGAATGAATGTTTTTCTACGTTCTTTCTTACCAGGACTAAGTGACTAAGACTAAGAGTACTATTGTACTAAGACTAAGAAGACTTACCTGGGTTAAATTTGAAATGCCCAGAAGAAAACAAATCGAATCCAAAATATTGGACTTTCCACTTCCATTCAAACCTGTAATTGCATTGAAAAGTGGATCAAAGCCGTTAATTTCCGTTCTTTGAGCATAAGATTTAAAACCGTCAATCACGATCGATTTTATAAACATTTTTGTTTATTTTTTTAATTTCGTCACCATAAGAAAATCATGGATCCCGGTCTCAAAAAAGGCGCCTGGATGTAAACTTCCGGTGTGGCTGTTCCGTACAACTTTGTTGTTAGAAGTTGAATTGAGTTGAATCAAGATTTGACCATCACAGCCACAGCACTCGGGGCATTCCCATGCATGCTCCGTCCTCATCTTCAGCAGCAAGCGCAGAGTTCCGATGTTGTTAGGAATTAAACGCATTTTCATCCTTATCATCATCATCTTATTTGTTTTCTCTTTTTTGTTTCTTAGTTTTATTTTTCTTCTGCCTTTTTTTGTGTATCCTTAATTAAGCTTCCTGACTTCCTGTGTCTTTCTACTGTAGAGCGTTTCTATCCTTTTGCGAGAATTATCATTAGATTAATGACACTGGTACAAAATTATTGTCATTGCGTGATCCTGCACTCGGGAAAATAAACTACGTACACTCACTATCATTTCGATTACAGTGTTTGAGAGAAACGATAGTAAGGGACGGAAGGAAAAAGAGAATGTGTGTTCAAGAATTACACATTTGTGCCTGTTTGAGAAAAGGCGAAAAAAAAAGACGGGGGGGGGGGAGTTGGGTAGGTAGAAAGACAAAAGACAGCGATTAAAATTTCCAAATTATTCTAAAATTAGCTAAGCTAATTCTGAGTCAAGAACTGACACCACAGCACTCGAAATGAGCAATAATTCTTAAGGTGCAGAATCTCTTCTTTTATTGTCTCATTGAAATCAGGTTGTAGGCTAGTGTCTAAGTTTATCTGTATTTGTCTTGCGCTTCTCGAATGGCTTGATTGATGGATTTGTTCATCTTTTTGCAGGTTACAGCTACACTATTTATCCACATCTTTCGTGGTCTTCCTCTCCGGTATTCTGCTGTAAAAAGTCTCATATGCAGTTTGGTCTGGCTTCATTATATCTTGACAAATTAAAAGTAGAGATTCTAGATAGTTCGGGGAAAAACAAGAATCTACAAATTAAGGAGACTCTTGTAAAGCTATACTGAAAGGAAAGTGAGAAAAGCAAGTAATAGGCAGACTTCGATACAAGTGTGAAGGTTAAACACCAAAAACAGGAGTAGCCGTCTTTCAGTGCGGCCAACCTCTCCAAATTAATAACCACGGAAATGAGACGTCTAAGAAGAACTGCTGGAGCGAGAAAAAGATATAAAATCAGGAAATGGATTATAAGAAACAAAAATCAGCTTTTGAACAATAATATTGTTTTGACGCAATAAAAATATACAAAGACAGTAAATAAAATGTTCCGTATAGAAAATATCATATGATATTAAACCAGATAATTCTATACTAGTGTCATTGTTTATGATTGAATCGGCTAGATAAGAGAGATCTAGAATGTCTCCAACTCGAAACTCAAAGCAATAAAAGTATAACTGAAAAAAAAAAACACCTCTCCTGTGAAGATGGCACCCAATCGATTTCTAGTACGTGTTTCTTTTGATTAAATTCATACATGGTATACCAGGAATATCGATTGGTCGGCATATTATTAACAACCTGCAATATGCTGATGATATAGTTTTCATCGATGAAAATGCAGTACAACTGGAAGAAATTTTGGAGATAATTGTATATGAAAGTCAAAGCAAGAGGCTTTGTTTGAACAACAGAAAAACAAAATTGATGGTAATTAAAAAAGAAAAAGAGCCTCCCGAAATGCAACATCAGAGTACAACATTTTAACAAGATGAAAAATGTTGTATGAAATCTTTCTTTGTCAATTAAGATGAGAAAGAGAATACGTAAACGCTATTTAAATCATATCCCAATATACGGACGTGAATCAGGGACAGATGGTAGATTAGTAAAAATTATTTAGAAGTTGCGGGTGTGTGGTTTTATAGACGAAGGATGAGAGTACCCTGGACAGATTAAAGAAGTAATGAAGATTCTTGAAAGAAACTGATTCGCGAAAATAGCTGATTGCCCACATCAGAAGGAGATAATTTACACTCTTCTGTCATGCCATGAGAAGGAGAAAACTAGACTACATCGTGACAGTGGGTATGTTAGGGTGGGGGGGGGGGGAGGCAGAGGAAGGTTAAGAGAGAAAACGGTAGACAGTTAAAAATTTTGGCATGGAAGATCATCTGTGCTATAGGTGTAGGCGTGACAACCTATGATACATAGCAAAGGCTATAGGAAGAAGTATGTTTACAGTGGTATTTCTAGGACATCCGCTAACTGTTTATAAATTTAGAACATTAAGAGGTGTAGCAGCTGCCAAGCTGACTACAACCTTCCCTCGAGAGATATATAGGCTGACCGTCGTTTCATTGTACGAAGTTTTTTCGCCTGGGACACAGATGAGTATCATTTATTTTATACATTAGAGTCCTATGTAGTCACTTCATAGTTAGAGCATATTTGTGTATGTGTACTGTGTTGTCCTTTATGTGCCGATGAAGGCTAATCGCCGCAACGTCCTTTGTTTGTTTATTCCCTATAATTTTCTACTCCTTTTTAAAAACCTCGAAAAAGTCAAAGCGAGCAATACACTTGCGAACCGTTTGGTTAGGACTAAATCTGCTTATTTATAGCGGAAATTATGCTTTATCTTTTGTACAATACATTATAGAAAGATGTCAAGTATTTCTGCTATTTGGATTTATTTGTTCAACAAACTCGTATTCTGTTATTTATGTTTGCGTTCGACTGGTTATTAAAATGCGTCTGTCATTTAATTTGAAAAGCAGGATGACAACTCCAGAGTCGAAAATATTCACAGTTTAGCAGGCTATTTCACTTAGCAATAATGAAAAAGAACTGAGCAGAAACAAGGCCGTTGCTACATTAATGATACGAAGAGTTCCAGCAGTTTTGTTTTCTTCTGTTGTAATTGCTTTCAAAGGGACTGCATTCTGAATGATTGACGCCCAGCGCTCAAATGGCCACTCACCACTCAGTAGGACCTTTACAGAGCACACTCCTATCACGGCCTTCGTGAAAGAAACTCAATTACGATACGCCGTCCTCCCCGTGTGGGTTCCAGGGCCCTATTATAGGGACAAAAAAGAAGATCCCCACGGCATACCTAAAAGCATGTCGTAAGAGTCGAATAATTGGGAGCTTCCTTCGAAATTGTCGGGGTCCCTAAAATAACCTAACTGTTGAACTGGGGTTCTTTGTACCCGAGTGATCCTCGTCCGAATGGTGGTTTTTTTTTTTTGGGTCACCGGGCGTTGTACGGTCCTCATGGAGTTAAACGACACACAGAAACTCGACTGCAAACGTGCTAACACGAGACGAAATTCTCTGTCATTTTAAGGCCTCATGCCGGCTGTCGTCAAGGACCCTAATATAATCTAACGGTGGAGCGGAGGTTCTGGGACATGCTCACCGGGGATTCTCATTCGAATGGTGGCACTTTATGTCTTTAAAACTCTGACACCCGCCAGCTCGCCCACTTCCTGCACTTTCCTGCGGAAAATGTCTTTTAGTCAAATGCTCATTATCGTGTCTGCGGGAACCTATCCATGTTATCTGACACCATACCTTCCGCTTCCGTCCTCTCCATCTACGGTGACGTGAGAATGGTATTCGTGGTTCTGATTTCGCCAAGCAGCACAACTTAGCCCTGTAATCGCTTTAACCCTGGAAAACCCATACCATGTTCCAGGTAGAGAAACATTTTGAAATTTGGTGACAAGGTACAATATTAGGCCAATTGTCCATTCCAATCATAATAGAAAAAAAAAAATAAAAAAAAATATGCGACTTAGACCAACTTCACTCAAATGTTTTACCCGTGACCCATTGGGTCATTATGGTAAAAGTCGTCCTGACCCTGTCTCGCTACTGGACCCAGGTATGACAGGCGAGAGAGTGAGGTCGACGACACTGCGCAACTCTTCTTCACTTTAATCCAAATCACTCTTTCATCACCATCTCATATATGTTCACTGAATAAGAAAAGGATGGACAGAAAGGCGACTGCAGGAAATCTCCCTGGCACAACGCTCATACCCTGTCTTCACTGTCCAGAACTTTTCGGCTTATCATCAGCCTCATCAGTCATATTCGTACTCATACTTGATGAAAAAAGAGTGGTCATCATCATCTTGATGGACAACACACACACCACATGGTAAAACACCTATTTTCCTTATAAATGTCCCGCCCATGACCCATTGGGTCATCATAGTAAAGGAAAACAAACTATAGGAAAATACAACACAATGCTCAATGATGTTCAGCTTATTTATTAATTTGCTTACACTAATACATATAATCATCATCATCATCAAGTGCCTTGCAGACTGGTGTGGGCTATCAGGCCTCTGCCCAATCCACAACTGCATGTAACTGTTCGTGTATTGAAACCATTCTATGCCAAGACAGAAGTCTGTCAAGAATCTGTCAGGAATCTTCTTGCACTGTTCTCTCCTTCCACAGATCTTTCCTGTGGTCACAACGTGTTCCAGGTTCCTTCTTCTTATAACATTACCAAACACATATATTAGATGAACGTATATATATATATATATATATATATATATATATACATATATATATATATATATATATATATATATATATATATATATATATATATATATATATATTAGGGCTGTACCGAATATGGATTTTCACTATTTGGCCGAATACGAATAGCGGGACCAACTATTCGGCCAAATACGAATAGTGTATTATCATCATCAGGTGTCTTGTCAACTGGCGTTATCGATTATGCCTCGCCACAATCTGCGATCTCCTGCAGCTTTTATTAGTTCGTGTGCTGACACAACTCCATGACATGCAACAAGACTGTCAAGAATCTTCTCTCGTTGTCTTCCTCTATCTCTCCTTCCACAGATCTTTCCAGTGGTCACCACATGCTCCATTTTCACTCTTCTCATAACATGGCTGAAAACTGATGACTGTCTGCTTCTGATGTCTGTGATAAGTTGTCTTCGAGCTCCCGCCTCTTTCAAAACCTTTTGGTTGTTCTTT